ATGTCAGAGAAACAGCCTTGCAGACACCAAGGTCAGCGAAGGAGGAGGGGGAGGAGGTGCTCCAGGTGCCAGAGCAGAGATTCCCCTGCAGCCCGTGGCGCAGCCCATATGAGGGCAGGCTGTGCCTCTGGAGCCCACGGAGGTCCACAGTGGAGCAGATATTTGCTGTGGAGGGCCCCACACCAGAGCAGGTGGATGTCCAAAGGAGGCTGTCACCCCATGGGAAACAGATGCTGCAGCAGGCTCCTTTCAGGATCTGCAGCCCTGTGGAGAGAAGAGCCCACCCTGGAGCAGGTTTGCTGGCAGGACTTGTGACCTTGTGGAGACCCACACTGGAGCAGGCTGTTCCTGAAGGGTTGCACCCCACAGAAGGGACCCATGGTGGGGAAGTTAATAAGGAACTGCAGCCCATGGGAAGGACTCACCTTACAGAAATTCATGGAGGACTGTCTTTCATGGGAGGGACCCCTGACTAGTTCAGGAAAAGAGCTGGAGTTAAGCCTAAAACTACTCTGTTATGAAACTGCTGATAATACACGACCCGTGGGAGGTGGGCCATCACTGTCTGTTCTTCTACACAGCATTATGGTGATGATAAAGGAAAGGAACAATGGTGAATTTGGCTTCCACTGCAGGGACTGTTTGATGTGCTTTACCTGTCCCTTCTATTCTTAAAGAAGGGTACCCAGATCCCTGGTGTCTTCTGTCTCAAAAGTGGCAAGTAGGAAGAGAAAAAGAGAATTAACAAATCAATATAATACCCTCGAGCGGGATATATAGAAGGTGATGAGGGTAAATGGCTGGAAAAAAGGACAAATTTTCCACAATTCTCAGCAATGCTCCCCTGAAACACTTGTGACCACATTCTCCAAAGGGATCAATAATCAATGAACATGCACTCTATCTGTTGGAAAAACTATTTTGACGTGAAACCAATGATGTGTTTCATAACTAGTCTTAAGTCCATGGAGGACGCTATTATTTAAGGAATTTTATGGCCAAAGCACTTTTTCAGCCTCATTATTCAGCCTTGACTTCCTTTTTAATTTTGAAAATGATCCTGTATTCAGTTCTACTGGCTTGATATCTCCAGTCCCCTCCGTAGGTTATTCCTAATTCTAGTTCCTCAGCATCTCCTCCTCTGAAGAGTTACTTATGCACCAGAAAAGTTGCTCTCATTTCATGTTCCGAAAAAAATGTGTATGTGTCTGTTGCCATGGCAATGGTGTGGGTTCCAACCAACCATTTTAGCCACACTAACTTTAAAATGGTAACCAAGTTTGAAACTCTTTGGTTTCCTCCCAGAAAACACAGAACCAGTGCAGTCAGCCCAATAATGAGTGCTGGAACACATCTGCCCTTGTGGGCTTGCAGGTGACCCCAGGCAGCCATGACTGGTCCCCTCCATGGGCTGCAGGGCTGACCCAGTTTCTCCTCAGAGCTGTCATGGCAACCTCCATGGTCGTGCTTGTTGCTTTGTGTGGAGAAACCTTCATTTTCTGGCTACAGCAAAGCAAGAACTCAATGCCAGTGGCATTGCAAATTGGGAGAGCAGCTCAGCCCTTCAGCCCAAGTCCTGATCCTGAACAAAACCCATGTCATGTGGTAGCAAAGAAGTTGCACACAGCAGGAAAAGCAACCTGTCTCTTACTCTTTTCCATTCTGGTGGTGCTCTGTTCCTCATCAGGCAGCACATTCAGGCTGGCTTGGTAAAGAATTGAGGCACATGGAGCCATTTCATGTGTGCACACCATGAGGCACAGCCTGTCCCTCTTAATTTCCAATCCTCCCTGAACTCAAGGTCACTGCCCACACAGACCTAACTCAGCAGAGGTTTAATACCCTCAGATCCACAAAATTCACAGGAAGAGTCCAAAAAGGGGAGAGTGATCATGACTCCATACAGAGGAAGGCAACAGTGGGAGCTCAGTCTGTACTGGAGAGTTTGCATGAGCAAGGCACAGGTTGAGGGACACCTGCCTGGGCTGCTCCCAGGACCTCTGGTTGTGCATTTACCCATTTCCAGCCATTCATTACTCTGAGAGGGAGCTGCCCACAGCAACAAAAAAATGTCAGCACTTTATACTAAAACCCTTGCCAGTAAAAGTAGAGAGAAAAATGTTCTGAACCATGGGGCAGACACCCAAAAATCCCTCCTGTGTGGTGGGGAGAAGGGAAAAGGAGAGATATAAAAAAGAATAAATTTAAAAATAAGAAAGAACTAGAAAAAAAAAGAGAGGAAAATGCCTGGGAGGTTTGATTTATAAAGGGAAATGAGCTGTAAGATAATGTGCTTGGACTGGCCAAGCTGAGGCGGGTGCGAGAAAAGTGGGTGACAGCCAGCAAGCACCAGAAAGAGCCCAGGCAGTGGAGAGGGAAAAGCACAGCCTGCTCAGAGGGAGTGAGACACACAGAAAGTGCATGCTAAGTAGGAGTGCCAGGATGACATATGAAAAGGGGAAAATTTAGGCTGAGTGTCAGGAAAAGCTTCCTGACAGTGAGATGCATGCACTGGAGCCATCCCGCGGGAGAAGCCCTGGAAGCTTCATCATTTGGCTTGCAAGGGCTGAGCTGGAGGAAAGCTGCAAGTCCTGGAAAGGCCTTGCAGAAATCCAGAGCTTGCAGAAAGTCAAAAGCAAGGTTTGCTTTAACTACGGGAGGCCTGGCTCAGAGGTGAACTCTGCAGGCAGGAAGATTGTCCAGGAAGAGGGGAACTCCCAGTAGGTGACTGGGAGGCAGCAGGTCCCAGGCACAAGCATCATTCTCCTCATGGGAGCCTAGAAACAAAGGGGTAAGCAAGATAGTGAAACAGATAGGGAAATTTTAAAAATCCCTTCTCCTTTAAGGCAACATTATCTCTCAGCAAAGAGCTACTCTGCTCTGGCCAAGGCACAGTCAGTCAGGGCTCAGGCTTCTGTTAGTCTGGGCCCCTGGGAAGGCCAGCTGCCAAAAAAAGAGGGAAATTTTGCTTTAGTCAGGGGGTAGGGCATGGGTGTATTGGGAGGGAAATGAGGGAGAGAGTGAGGGAACTTGCACAGGAGAGTGAGGGAGAGAGGGGGACATATGTATTCACTGTGTCTCTGGATGTGTAGCAAGGCAAGAAGCCCAGCAGGATGGCTTGGGAGTGGGGGAAGAAGGTAATGGCTGCAGGCAGAAGCCAAGGCAGAGAAACTTCAGGAATGATGCTGTTTCTCTCCTATCAAGAAGAAGCCTTGTCCAAAGAAATCTGTATTAAAAGCAGTCAGGGCATGGACTCTGTCCCCAGAGTTCCCTGAGCCACCCACCTTCCCTGTCACAGGAGGAAGAGGAGGTGATTTCCCCTGTGAGGACGCAAACAGAGGTAAACAGCTCTCCTGCAGGGAGCTATCCCTGTGCCACATCCCTGGGTACGCCGCTGGGCCAGCTGTGCCCAGCCTGGCAGGGAGCAGCCTCTCCATTGTGGCACATGAAGACCTACAGCACACAGCTCTAGAAGTGTCAGCCAAGCTCACAAGCAACCTCGTGTGAGCTGAATATCATCCCACAGTTCCAGTGGCCTTACTAGGAGCTGAGATCATCAAGTCACTTCCTCAGCATGAAACCTAATTTGAAACTTTGACCCCTTATGAGCTCCTTCTACCCCCAAGGAAAGCATGTCTGTGCCAAAGGTAGCCACACATTCATGCAGGAGATAGTCAGGCATGGGCAGTTAAAGCAATAACTGAGCTGTGGCACAGCTGCTCTGGGAGTGCCATCCTTCTCCCATCCCAGCTTTTACTGCTGTGTTCCTTTATTCGGATACACCGCCCTCTCCATTTAAACAGCAAGCCCAGCAGGGCAGGAAATGACAGCCCATGCTCTTGCCGAGCCAACAGAAATGAAGCTAAAGTGGAAAGCCTATTTTAAGAGTAAAGTATAATATAAAGAGGTTGCATTTATTTCCAGACCAGACATTACAAACCCAGGGAATTCAGAGTTAAAGTTATGCTTAAAATAAATTCAAACTTGTTGAAGTGTGGCAGTGTGCTACCAAGGAATACAAATAGCCTTAATTCTGCCCTGAAGTGACACACAGCCGTATGACTGTGATTAAAATGTTTTAGTACTTGTGCTCCTAAACTAGATTACCCTGATAAATACAATTTTTTTCCATATTCCCTTGCTTTTCTCCTCCCCCAACAACCATGTGCCCCAGATATAGCCACTAGCACAGATTTCACTGCCTACCAGGGGAAAAAAAAAAAAAAAAGATATATATCACAGGTCCTTCACATCTGTAATGAGCGCCCCGGGCTAAGTGTTCTCTTGGAAATACCCTCCCTCCCATCGTCAGCCAGATCCGCAGCCACCCCTGCCCAAGGCTCTGGAGAGCACAACTGAAGTGTGCACCAAGTGATCATTTAGCCCTGCTGAGGAGAAGGGAAGGGCTTCCCTCACACCTTTGATACCACTGTAGTCTACACTCATGTATTTATTTCACAAGCCCATTAAAACCTTGGGTTTAAAGTGTAGAGAAAATAAAAGAGAGAGAAAGAAACATCATCTGGATAAACAATTATGGCTTTTTGTCAAGGATTCAGGAGCTAATCGAGTCCAGATCTGTTCCACATTTACATTTACATGTGAAATTGTACTTACTGAGCTAGAAAAAGTCAGATTAGCATCAAGAGTCAGCTCTGCCCCTCAGCTACGTAGTGCAAACCCTGGAGTGAATGAGCACCCCCGGGGTGTAACAGAAGGCAAAGTTTGGTCCCAAATACTTAAGGGCCATTTGGCTGAGATGCACATGAAAGTGGCTGCTCTGCACTTCAGCCCAGTTTGAAATGATTCCCCAGAAGTTGTATTCACTTAAAAGAGTGGGTGGCCTGAATTGTCACGATGTGTTCAAATATTTGGCACTAAATCACAGCTGTCCACTTATTTGCACTTTTGCTGCTGGGCAGCAGGAACACCCCTGGAATTAGTCAGACACATTAATGAGCTAACAGATATATTATGGTTTACAGTTTGGGCTTCTTTTGTCCACATAAATACACACCTCCTCTCCACTTGTTTCCCAGAACGGCATATCTTCTTGAACATGTTGACTTTCCAAGCTTTATTTTATCTGGCCTTTATTAATGAGCTTTCAGAATGTTCTGTTAAATGCAGAAAAGCACCTTGCCCTTAGCAGCCTTTCTGAGCAGTACATGCAATCTTGGAGAGACTCAGGAGCGTGAGGGGAAACGGTCCAGCCTCCGAGAAGTTCCTCTTCGCAAGCCAAAAGCCATCCTCTGCATGCAAAGATCCCAAGCAAATATGGAACCAATAACAACCACGAGCAAAGACCTTTACCTAAGGAAAATATTTACAAAGTCCCTGTTACAAGTCATATCGTCTTGAGGAAAACTCTTGCACCTTTGCTCTGCAGAAGGCAAGGATTTTGTTGCACCAAAGGAAAGAAAATCTTGTTATCTGGGTTAACACTCCCATGATTGATTCATCCCACTTCTCCACTGCCAGAAACCTTTTATAAATCACAGATATAGCATAGGTCATGATTTAATTACTTGCCAAGAAAATTTATCCTGTGCAAGAGGACTTCAGGACCAGTGTCAATTCTTTGCAACTTGTATGCCTAATGGATGCTAATTGCAAAGCCTAGTCATTTTTATTAAAAAAATCAAGAGAGTTTTTACCAGGGTAATGCTCTAGCATGGAATCAGTGGAAGCCAGGTTTTTGTGTGTGTGAATAAAACAGTTTTTCAGAAAAAAATGCTTATTTGCTGACACTGAAGTTTCTTGTGGGAATACATCACTTTCATAATTAAATTTTCATCTGGAAGGTTTTTCAGGTCAAAAATGGAATTTCTGGTCAGAATCATAGCAGGGAGGAACACACAGGAAGCCAGGCTCTCAACTGAGCACAGCGAAGCCTCTTGCATCCCGAGCACTTGGCTTAGTTACGGAGCCAGCAGCTCATCTGCCATATGGTTGCTCCTTACCTGGTCTTGACCATTCTTGGCCATACTTTTCCAGCACCATTTCCTGCTTCTCCTTCCAGCCCCTCCCAGGAGCAGGAGGTGCAAAGCCACGGACAGAAAGCAATTGCTCACTGTACAATTGTATTTTCCAGGAAGCATCCCCAAATGGGTGCTCGCCTCCAGCCGGAGGAGCACAAAGGAGCAACCCCACTGCCAGCAGCCACTCTCACCCACGCAACAGGATCTGGGAGAGGATGTCTGGCTATATCTGCCTTCCCCTCCATGTGCAGGAACACACCGTATCAACAGAAAACACCTCTGGTAAGGGCACAAATGCACCTCCCTCCCCGGGAGGCTGCACGGCGTTATCTGCAGCAGTGGAAGGAAGCAGGAGAGCCCAGCTGCTGGCAAGCCTTCCTACCCTCACAGCCTGATTCACCAGAACAGCCCGGCTGCTTTTTGCCACCGCAATGACCACACACCAGAGCTGCAGCCTGGTTTCACTGGCCAGTTTGTGACACTCTTGTGCCCACAGAGTGGTAGTGAATAGCTGGAAGGGGCTGGGGAGCCCCTCCACAAGCTCCTCTGCATTGCATACCTCAGCCAGGCTGCTGCAGCAGAGGATGAAACCGAGTTGTCACCAGCCCCATCACACAGCCTTGTCCTCTGGTCACCTTCAGGAGGGCAAGTGAGAAGTGGCTCAGCTCAGCCACCACAGTCAAATGAGTCTGAAACACTGTTAGGAGGGATTAAAATCACATGTGAGTGTGTGTGGATGTGTGGTTTCACAACACCTCCCTCTCCCCACCACCAGCCACACCAGTTTCCCCAAAGAAAGGCAGAACAGTAGAGCACAGACCCAAAGTTATGCCGTGATGCATTAAAGCCTTGTTTTCCCACTGCTTAAAGAACTGACCCAGCCCCCTCAAATGTTCCCAGCATACTTGAATTGTGAGTCAGAGACCACAATGGAGATACTTGCCTAACTTGACAAAGTTTAAGTATCTCCTGCCAAACAGCAATCACTGATTTTTTGCTCTGTCACTCATGAGTCCTGTTCCTGCTGCTCTAACCACACAACACACACTGCCTCATTGTGGAAGCCAGGATTACTGTTTGGGTGCTTACCTGTAGCATCTCCAACTTTTCATAATCCCTTTAATGAGGAGTGCTGCTAACAAACCAGATGGAAATTTGCAGGTATTGAAAGCTCATGTCTCTGTATCCACTGTGGAAGCAATAGAGGATGGAAAGAATAGCAATACTGAAAAGTGAGGCTAGGAAACACTTCATCTTTGCAGGCACAGTCTAAGATTTAAAAGGAATAACAATTCAAGAACAAGATTTCCACAAACAGGTCTGGCACCTCACTTAGCAAAACACCCTAATTCTTAGGAGTTAATCTGTGATGAACCCTTCCTTGGGCATCATTTGCCATAGCTAAAGCAATTGCCTACCATGAGTTAGCATCCAGAGTGGCAAAATAAGTTTTTACTCTTTCAGTTGCAGTGGCAAAAGGCCTGCAGCACTGAGCAGGGCTCCATTTTCTTCCACACCTCTGCTGCACCACGTGTCATCCAAACAGCTCATACAGCCCTGCTCAGGGCAAAAATATTATTATTTTACTCACTGTAGGTCATATTCATTTCCTATTTGTTAATTTTCCTACACAATCCTGAGTGTAGTGCTAAAAACCTTTTCTTAATTAGCTTCCCCCCACCCCCCCCCACCCATTTTTCTTCCATCAAACGGCACAATTCTCACACAATCTCAGCACTCTGGCAAAGAGGCATGCGGGCTTCAAGGAAATCCCCCAGTAACAGAGTGCAAGGCTTGATCTGCAGTGAGGAGAGCTGGCAGCCCTGCACTGCACCTCAGCACGCCAGCTGTTGTTCCAGTGGTGGAGCTACACTGGGAGGAGTTCAAGGACCAGCAGCTGAGAAAAAAAGTCAGAACCAAACCCTTCAACGTTACATGAGGTCGAGGTTTTGTGTGTGCAAGTGTGTGCATTTTCTTTATTTTTCTCTTTTTTCCCACCACAACTAGATTTAGTATTTCTTCAGAGGATTCATGCTTGTACTTGTACCAAAAAATGATTCCCATTATCTCCTCCATTGCCTGGGCTGCAGCACAGAGAGCAGCCTGCTGTTATCCATCCCTGCTGTCTGGGGTTTGGGACAGCTGGGCTGCAAGGCTGGAGAGATGGGGGAGTATCCAGGCTCTGGGGTGCACAAGGACGAGAGAGATCATTTTGTGTGCTGCTAATCTGTCTCTGCAGGAGCGCTGGTTTTTGCCTCTGTAGCACCTGCCATGGGGTGCCTGGGGGTGGGACACAAGAGCAGGAATTAAAATAACTTCAAGCAAGATTTACTCCCTTCCTTATTAGTTAATACTTGCCAAAAAAACTTATGCAGAGGCAGGGGGTTGAATAGGTCTGAGTGGACTTCACATAACTGATGGAAACATTACACTTTGACATCTCTCTCCTTTCAGGAAGGGGGAATCTTTGGCTGAAGCTGTGTCCAAAGCCCTAGACAGAAACCCAGGAGCTCTAGGTTGTTCTTTTCCCAGTTCTGCCTCAGGCTTGACATTTCAGGACCATGGTGTTTTGCTGACAAACCTGAGCCATGCTAAACTGAAGATAAAATACCAGTGAGGGTTTCAAACCTCCCATCCCCCACCCCCTTCCCCGAGCACAGCACACATTGCTCCGAGCTGTGCACATGTACTGACCTCTCCCAGCTTGGTCCTGGTGACAGGGTGATACACGGCCCAGACCTGCACTCCCTGAACTCCCCACAGGCGCTCATCTAGCACAGAGACAGCACTGGAGGTGTGTAACAGGGAACAAGGAAGAAAAAGAAGCTGTTTCACTGTGCAAGTAGTACTGATCTTAATATTAATCTCTTCTGAGCTGAAAGAAAAACCCTGTTGTATGGTCACAGTAGGTCAGACCAGCTAGTGCAGGGGGAAGCAATGCATATTTAGAGCACACTATTCTGAACAACAAGCTTTGGAAAGTGTTTCTGGAGGTTGGGCCAACCTCACAGTGCTGGCCCCAAAAACATTTAACGCGTGCTCTTCTCAAAAAAGTCGTCTGGATGGCAATCTGAGTGCAAGCAGCTTCTTTCAGCTCTCCATCCTCAGAGGCAGTGCAAGCAGATCAGGCAATTCAAGAGGCTTAAACTGGTCCTGGTGAAGTCTCAGCACTCAGCTTGCTCCTTAAGCCAAAAATAAAGAATACATCGGCAAAACCAATGCATATTCCCCTGGTAAGTTTCTAATGCTGTTTGTCAGAGCAGTGGCTGCCACCAGTGCACACCACAGCCCTCTCTGGTTTTGTGCCACCACCGAGCCATCAGCTGGGCCGTGAGAGTGTCAGCTGCTGCTTGCATTACAAAATCTGGAAAGGATGGACCCTGAAACCAGAGAAGCAGCAAACAAGAACCGCAGCAGAGCAGGACAGGCTGCTCACCAGAAGTACCTCCAGCACTTAGGAGATGACAGATTTTCTGGGCACTCAGAAAACCTACATAAGCACATGCATTTGCACAATGTGCAATGAACGACTGGCTCTGCTCTTTTGAAAAGGGCATGTCGTGATGGGACAAGAGGTAATGACTTTAAATTGAAACTAGATTTAGATTAGATACTAGGAAGAAATTCTTTGCTGTGAGTGTGGTGAGACACTGGAACAGGTTGTTCAGACAAGCTGCAGATGCTCGACTCCTGGAAGCGTCCAAGGCCAGGTTGGACAGGCCTTTGAGTAACCTGGTCTAGTGGAAGGTGTCCCTGCCCATGGCAGGCGGGCCTGGACCTCGATGAACTTTAAGGTCCCTTCCAACCCAAGGCACTCTGTAACTCCATTACTGCACATGAGACTATAAGAGCACCATCTCCTCACATCTGACATTCAGACCTGAGGACTTCAGAGGCCTAAAACAGGGGGTGCACCTCTCCCTTGCCCCTGCTAACTCACAGCAGTTACAAGGCAGGCAGCAGCACATGTCCTCACTCCAACCCACTGCTGGAATCACCAGCAATCCGCCAGGCTGTTACACCCTTACAAAAGGGCTTGGCAGAGCAGCTTCCCCAGCCAAGGCAAGGTTTGTATCAGGGGCTAAAGATCAAAATGTATCTATCTCTGAACACACCTTTGTTAGTTTTGGCTGCACCCTTTCAGGTATCACCTGCCTCCCCAGGCAAACACGTTCCTATCCCGGGCGCCACAGGCCTGCTGCACTCCTCTGAGGGCTGCGTCCGCCTGCCAGGAATCTGTGGACCTACTGCATCCACATCAGCAGCCAGCAGCCAGGGAGGGAGAGCCCCAGCACTAATGTGGCTGTAGCAAGGATGTTGCAGGGAGCAGAGGAAGGAGCTGGAAGCAGATTCACGGTCAGGCTGCTGCTTGGTTTTGTTGGAAACTGGAGTGGAAAACTGGCACCGGCATCCATCCACCCCAACAAACATTGCATTCATATGCAGAGCTACAGAGCAAACGATCTGTCAGTTGTTCATCTGGAGAACAGGTTTCACCAGCCTGGATTAAATGATTATGTTGCCACAGCATGTGCTTCTGGCTGCTCTTGGAGATAAAGGAAGTAAAGCACAAGGAGCCTTACAGGAGAGAGGCCTGACCCTGCAACCCAGCTCCCAACACCTTTATGCTTGAAGAAGGTTCAGACCAGCACAGAGCATGGGAGATGGGGAGCAAGTGTGTTTAAAAGGATGAATTTTGGTGCTGATGCGCTGAAATCAGTAATGCAAGAAAACACCTCATTGAATCGAGAACAGAAGGTGCACACTTTACCTCCAATTACTGCCTCCAGATGTGCACCAGACTGGCTGTATTTCTGAGCCTGCTGCTCCTCGCTCACACAAAGCTGAAGGCAGAGCGAGTGCAGTTGGAGGTCTAACAGCACATGTGCAGCTCCACCAGAGCCTGCGTCCTGCCTCCACAAAACCCCCGTTGAGTGACTCCCTCAGGATGTAATTGCAGTCGACTTTATTCCAGGCCATGAGCATATGTCTGGCTATGGACATTACTGCAAGCACACAAGGAAAGAAAAAAAAAAAAAGAAACATAAAGCAGAAAGTGCAAAAAACTACTGGTAATCCAAGCCCAGTTAGGATAATGGGTGTTTTCCTCCATAGAAAAAGGTTACTTTGCTACCTTTGGCAGTCTGACCAGCTTCCCTGCATTAGTACCTTGTAAGGCACAAGAGAAAGGCTGGCACCAGCTTTGCAGACTCAAAAATACTGCACCAAACCCATGAGCCCCAGCAACAACCCCTGAATCCCTCTGGAGCCCACAAGCGTAAAAAGCAAAGGCCCAAAGAGCTAAAACAGCAATTTTAGGACTCTCACAGACTTCAGAGAGCCTTGAACCCTTGTACCAGGGAGCTCAAGGCATCTTTTTCCACTCTGTGGCCTTTGATAGGTTCACTCCCACCAAAGTTCACCCCATGTCCCATCTCTCAGGGGATGATGTGTCTGTGGTGGGTGCAGTGGGAGGTGCAAGGGTGCAGTCACAGCACAGTGTGGGCAGCAGGAGCTGGAGCCACCACCCTCTGCCCCCAGCATGTTTCACAAGATGAGCAGCAGCAGCAGCACTGTTGCTTTCATATTTGCCTTTTTTTTCTCTCAGAGAGTGGAAACCCCTGCTCTGAGCACTGGGAGCTGTTACAAACACTGCTCTGGGGAGAAGTCCCTACAAATAGCCTGCAGCAAGCACCCAACACTCCCAGCTCAAGCACCTGCAGGCTGGCAAAACCCTGAGCCATCCAAAGTAAGGTCTTATCAATGGGAAGTGCCAGCCAGGCCTAAGCAACACTGAGCTGCCCTCCCCACCTCGAGTGGCCATGAAAACACATAGGATTTGTCCAGCTGGGATGGCTCCCGGTCAGGCATTTACGTTTATGGCTCATGGACAGGTTTTTAAAAATACATCCCAGTGCATGCACAGATGTACTCCAAGATACACTTATATCCACAAGCACATGACCTAGGAGGTGGGTTAGAGCTGAAGTGACTCAGCCTCCTGGTTACAGGAACAAAATTAGCAACCGCTCATACACGTCTTATGTCTTAGATGGGGCTAGATGGCACTGTAAGTTAGTTAATGTCCCTTTGCCTCAGGAGATTTCACTGTGGCATTAAGATCAGTGGAAAACCAGGAAAGCTGGTGCTCCCTAGGGTATATTTTCCAGAGCTGGGCTAGTAATTCACACCAACAGCCTGATTCAACACATTTTCAAGGTACCTAGTTAGGAGCTGTGTCCAATAATTTAGTCATTCTCTGGAATTAACTTATTTTTTTGAGAAAATAATTCTTGGCTTGACAGCATTTAAACATATGTTTTCTCCAAATACTTGGCCTACATTTTCCCTTCTTTAATTTATCCCATTTCTCCTCATTAACCCCTGCCCCCCCACCCCCGTTGTTCCCATGCTGGATCCCTCTACCTCTCCCGGGAGAACAGTGATGAAATGACATTCGCCTCCCAGACCTCTTGGCACATCACCGTTTCTCTTCAGGATCAGCCCAGCGGGGCAAAGAGCCCTTTGGCCCGGAGCCCCTGAATCACTTAAGGATGCACAGCTGAAATGGAGCAAAGCAAAGTGGCAGAGGGAGGCGAGGACCAGCCTTGGAGGGACAGTGCCTGGCTGCATTCAGGTCAGAGCATTCCGGTCCCACGGCCTCGGGTGTCTGCCGGAGCTGGTTGGGAGATGAACGAGTAAAGATCTGCCCTAATCTCACACCCAGACCTTCCAGAGCCTCTGCGCTCCGGCGAGCACGCTGTGGCTGATGGCACCGTGCCACCGCAAGGGAACGGCATCCACGTGGCTGGGGAGGAAGGGGGACGTGCAGTCCTGGTGCAGCACATCTGCCCCTGGGGCTGGGAAGAGGGTGGCCACCTCTTTAACAGAGACCCTATCCATGCATCTAGCTGCAGCTACTCCGATGGGTATCTCTCCCATCAGTTAACAGAGGGAGCAACCCTCTAGGGGAAAGAGAAAAAAAAGCACACCAAACCCCCAAAATCCCCAAAACACTCCTCCCAGCACAGGATCCCATCAGCTCCTTGACTGCCTAGGTCATTCATGCCTGTGAATCGTTTCCTCAAGTAACAGATTAGTCACGTACATTTGCAATGGCAGCGATTCTGCCAAATAGCTGAGGAGCAGGGCAGGAGAACAGCAGCATGACAAAAACAGGCAGAGGAGGGGAGAGGAGAAACAAAACATTTCTTCCTGTTCTCCCATGCCCCTTTGGTTTTCAACAGCGTCTGCATGCACAAGCTGCTAAACAGCTGCATCACGTGGCGGTGAAATCCGGGCGCTATCTGGCCAGAGACTTCGACAGCCCTGCCTTTCCTTTTTCACCCCCGGGCTGGCAGAAGCATTGCCCAGCAGCCAGAGCACTGACAGCTTCTATAAGGTTGGGACCAAAAGCCTCCCATAGTAGGAACAATGTTTGGCAGCTGGGAAAACCTCTCCGTTGAGCTCCCATCTTTGGAGTGACTGACAAATGCCAGACCCCGGCAGGGCTGACATAGGCTCGGGGCTGCAAAGTGTCCCGCTCAGAGGCAAGTCACTCGGAGAGGAAAACAAACAGGAAAAGGTCCCCAAAAGCTCCTGATTAGTATGTGGCTTACTGCAAGCAGTTACTTTCTTCTTCCAACAGCAGGCATGACAAATCACCGCTGTCACTAGAGCAGCAGCGCGTGGAGCTGTGAGCAGGTCAGACTGCTCCTCTGTGCTGTGCATGCAGTGTCAAACTGCCCCTGTCCCAACAAACTCCCAGCCACGAATGGCCTGGTAGGTAACAAAAAGGGAGATTCAAAGCAAGAACACCTGAGTGATCCAGTAACAAGGGGGAAAAAAATGCAGGCTGTTTTGGGTCATATGATTTGTGTGTACATTCCCAGACACTCAGTCTGTCCCTTGTAGTTCAGGGAAATGCTAAATGGGCAGCATGGCCTGGAGAAACTGTAAGGAGGGGAAAAGCAGACAAGTGCCTGGGGGAAAGCTGATGAGCTGGTTTTCAAGACAAGCGTTACTGCTGCAATAAGAGATAGGGGCACATGTAGGCGTTCCCTGTCCTGGTAATAAATAACAGCTACAAAACTCTTATTAACCTCTGTAAAATATGTTGGTTCTGCCAGCCCATCCATCACAAACCTGTCTGTTACTGTGGTACTCACTTCAGCTGTCCCAGAGAAAGACAGAAAACACAGCAGGACAGCCACAGCATCCCACATTCCAGACAAAGGGAGTCACAATTGCAAAGGATGCATCCTTGTTGTCATAAAAATTACACTCCCTTCTTGTATCTTCTGCCTTAGGGGGCAGCACTGAAAGAGGAGACTCATCATTTTTGAGACCCGAACTTCACCATAACACAAAATACAGAAACAAAAAAAAAGACTACCTCAGGAATCTTCTACCTTTCCTTCCCAGGAACAAGCAACCCTGGAGCTTGGCCTGAGAATCTGGCCCGGTGAATTCACTTGGAGCCCAAAGAAAGCCTGGCTCCATTCATCAGCAGGGATGGGAAGTGCTAAGTCTCTTCTCCTCTCACCATCCCACTTCCTGGAGGGGAATTCAAGGAACAAGTGGCCTGATAGCGCTGAGAGGAGTTCTGTCCCACATGCTGCCAGGCTTCCCACGCTGTCCCATTTCAGAAGTAGCATGGGGAGGAAGGGGAAATGCATAAATCAGAGCTCTGATACTTGGCACTACACCAGGACATAGATTAGACTACTCAATCATTTTAATTGCTATCCAACAATAATAATCTATTTAGGTGATTTACTCTAAAACATGCATAGCACTTTGGTATGTTTATAATGCTAATTGGGAAGGTCCTGAACCAAACAGCCACCCTGGGTAGCAAAGCTGTGTATTTGGGGAGATTTATTTGGTTAGCTGTTTTCAGAACTTCACTAGAATGCTGCTTTTCTTAGCTTTTTTTGCTTCAGCATATATATTTTTGTCTATTTACTTGTCAATCTCATGTATTTGGCAGGCATAAAAAAATGCAGAGCAGTAACCAAAATTACACACACTTCCCATGCAACACAGGGTTATTCTTCCATGTCTTGTTTCTGCCCTGCATATTTAATTTTTGTACTCCTGTGAGGACTTGGGTGTTCAGGAAGAATGCCATTTTTAGAATTACCAGACCTAAGTAGCTGCAGCTACATAAATAAGGAGTATGTCAAGATCTGAGGAGGGCCAATTGTTTTACTAGGTCACCAGTTAACCCACATGGCCAGGAGTGCAGGTGTGAAGGAGATAATCCACCTCCAAGACAGATCCCAGCATGCCTCCATGGGAGTTTTGTGCTTCACAGAGGTACTTTGCTCTCCCTTAAGAAAGATGGTACATCAGGAAAAGTTCCTCCTGCTGTACTTGTACTGTTTGTACCTGTGTTATTGCAGGTAGGCACTGGGAAGGATGTGTTTGGCATGCAGAAGCTATTACCTACAATACACTGAGCAAAACCACAGTGAAAAAGATGGTGCAGCCTCTGCTCTGGCTGTGTTTATCCCACATGTCAATGAACAATAAAAACAGGGCACTGAAAAATAAACCTCACTGCTTCAAAAAGCCCCCAGGAGAGTTTCTTCATTGGTATCATATTTTTGTTTCTTTCTGATATTTTTTTTACTGTTGAAGTTGACATCTTTTTCCTCTTGCTGAACCAGCACTTCCTGACAGCAAACCATGGTCAGAAATTTTCCATCCAGCCCTGAAGTGTGTTTCAACATTTGGTGCTTGTGCATGCTTATGAAAAGAGGTTAATATCAATCTCAGAAAATTATCTACATGATGTTCAAAAGGGTACCAACAGTGAGGAGCAGCACCTGCATTTGGGGAAGTCCAGAAGTCTCTCATTTCTTTGCCTCAGAGTTGGGGTCAGCTCTTCTCTGCTCTTTTACATTTGTAATGGTGATCCTCCTTTGCATGTTTACTGCCCAACTGACCTGTCACTTGGAAAAAATCCTTCCATGGGGAACACTCTTTCGTGACACAGCACATCCCCTTCCAAACACCCTGGGGACATCCTGATGGTTTTAAAACCAAACATCTTGGAAAAGAGCAGTGCTCTCCCAACAAACAGCAGTACAGTCAGTCCTCAGAAGGCAAACAAGCAAGGCAGGAGCTTGTGGGAGGAGATGGTAATAAATACGATAGTCAGCTTCTTAATCACCATCCCCAGTGCCTGATAACCATTACCTTGTTTCAGCTGCCCTGTGCATAACAGTGACAGGACGGCCCTCCACATTTGGAGGACTTTACCCAGCAAAATCTCCTCAGGGATGAACAAGCACTGAAGTGTAAACACACCCAAGAACTTTTTAAGGTTGGAAAAGGAAAATCTCTTATGCTGTGAGAGTCATCAGGCATGAGGCAGCCTGGGCTCAGCAGCCTCCAGTCTGCAGCAGTCGCACTCAGCAACCCCAACAGTCAAGGTTTTTTTTGGGAGCAGGGGTGGACACAGTGAAAACCAGCCTGTCCTTACTCAGAACTCCTGCCTGCAGGGCACTCAAGCCAAAGCTGTCTTAATGTGCTTTTAAAAGAAGGCAAATGCAAACAAGGCATCATTTCCTTCAAAGCCCGGCACTTCTCCTCCGCTGAGACATCTAGAGCTGCTATCGTCAGCTTAGGGGGCAGTAACTTCACCAGGAGGCGAAGCTGGTTTATGAGGGGGAGGAGGAAGAGTTAAAGCAAACTCATCAACCCACCCAGTGTCATCAGCCAGCAGCTCTGAGCACACTCTCACCACGGGGAAGCGGCGGAGAGACACGACATCCCAGCAGCACGTCCAAGAGAGGATGTGCCCTAAAGGACGCAGCTGATTCATCATCCCGCTCAGGAATCTCGGGCAGTTTCAGCTGCAGAGGCCTGACCTGCTTGGCAGCCAGCCGGCCGGCATCAGCTGCCTCCTGGAAAAGGGAAAGAAAAAATAAAAAGCTTTGAAACGACAGAGTGGGCAGAGGAATGGGGAGGAGGGGAAAGGAGGGAGTGTGGGGGGGAAGAGGCGGCCTTGCAGGCTCTGGTTGAATAAGAGGCTAATTCCCCCCCCCACTCCCTGACCGCGACTCCATCTAATTACCCTGTTTCCTCTGAGCTGATTGGAAAGTGGCCTTGTGTCTGGAAAAGGCAGTAAGCATCTTACATGCATCTGTTCCACCTAATCCCTAATAACTAGTGCCTGTGTGTTCCGGGAGAGGAGGAGGAGGAGGTGGGGGAGGACAGGCAGGGAAGGGCCGGGAAGGGTTTCCCATGTAGGCTGCCGTGTGGCAGAGGGCAGGGCGGCCTTGTGGCCTGGGCTGGGGGCTTTCAGGGAACTAGCATTGTTCCTCTTCCGCCTGTTTCACAATCTGGAGGCCCTTTCCTCCTTCCCCTTGCAATAATAACAAATTTTATTTAAAAAAAAAGGAAAAAAAAAAAAGGAAAGAAAAGAGAGAGGCTTGTGTTGTGGCTGGGAATAAGGACACATTTTGCTGAGCCTCGCTGCACTTGGGATCTGTTTAAGCCACTCATTTTCCCCTTGCCCTAATCCTGCATTATCCTTTAGGCATGACGTTCAATTCCTGAAGGGGGGTGGGAAGTGCTCTCCAGGGCCCTGCCTGGTTTTCCCAGGAATTTGGATTGCACTTTTTATGTGCAGCTCCGGGAAGGGGCAGAGGGACAATTACGCAGCTGTTTAGTAGCCAGGCAGGCACATTTTCAGCGAGCTCTTCCTAGTGGGAGCTAATTCAGCTCGAGGAGCGCACAGGGATAAACATCTCCATTTGCCAGTAAAAGGATTGTCACATCTGGAATTTACACAAGTTACGAGGAGCCAGGAGCCACTATTTCGTTTCACTTGCGTGGCGTCATAAAACATGTTAGCACTTTAAAAGTGTTGCAGGGCAGATGGATGCAGGACAAGGACAACAACTCCCACAGCCCTGCCATGCCCCTGCCCGCCCCTGCCACCATCGGGGGACACCAGACTCAGCCCTGCATCTTGCTCAATGCCCTCAACTTTGCTCCAGCCCCTGGGAAAGGAGGCTTTTGGCCTCCGACGCTGCCAGCTGGCTTCTCTTCTCCACATTATAGTCCCAGGAGGCTGGGAGAGGGACCCGCTGTGCCCCCTGCGCACCTCGCAGGGAGTGCCAGCCTTCCCCTGAGGCTCAGCCCACATGGAGGAGGACTCAGCAACCAATGGCTTTAAACCAGTTTCAAAAAGGTTGGCTGTGCCTCTGTGGGCTGTTTATTTCCAAGAGCTTTCCACATTTATCCAGCCAGTTTTCCACTGTTTTGCTTTTGGATTTTTGCAGTTGCAAGCTTTGAGCGCTCCTCCTTGCAAGAGCCTCCTCGCTCATCCCTCAGCACATTAATGGTGCCAGAGGTGGTAACGGGCCCTGGGGGCTGAATTCCCATAGGAAGCCCCTGTCCTCACCCCAACAAAAACACTGGGAAGCATCCTGAAAAGAGCAGTGGGATACAGGCATCCACAGGCTGGACCCATCCCATTCAGTAACAGTGGATATAAAAATTAAGGGGAAGAAGATGAAGTCAATGGCCTTTTGACCTTTGGCACTTCTCATCTGCACAAAGGCCTTAAGGATGAGCAAGGTAAAACCCAACAGTCTATATTTCCCAGTTTGTTTTTTCTCTCACTTTTTCTCATGGAGCAGTGGTGACCCAAGAAATCTGCTGCCTGCTGATTTTCATTAGGGACTGAGCCACAATGAGTGGGAAAACCAGAACAAGCACAAAAGTAATCTCTTGACCCCCCTTGCTGCTTGTGAAACACTATGCAGAGGTAAAGGCCTTCAGGTTACCATGTGGAAACCTGGCTGTGATTTACACCTCCTCCTCATCCTCCCTACAAGGGACAAAGGGCTGCCTTGGGGAGGCTCACTTTACCCTGCAAAGGACTGGCAGCATCACTGCTCAATTTGCTGCTTGCAGACAGGGCACAATCCCAGCTTTTGTGAGTCATCCACCTAGCCCATGCAGTATGGGATCCACAGCCTGGAGTCCCACCAGTGCTCACAGGAGTCTCTTGGGGAGCAAACCTTATGCCAGGGATGGCTGCCCTGCAGTGGCATACACAGCAGGAGCTGTGCAAGGGTGATGGGAGATGGGGAGAGTTGGCTGCCTTCTGCTTGAGCTCTCGTGACTGACCAGAAAAGTGAAGTGAAAGAGCACAGTGGGAAGCTGCAAGGTCACACTTTGCTTCTAGTGTTGTCCAGATCCTTCTGCAGAGCCTTCCTACCCTTCACATGCATAATTCATCCCGTGTTGCTCTAACTAAAGTTAAAGCCCCTTGAGGTAAGTTGGTGCAACTTTTCCATGAGTGCAGGCTCCTGACACTGTAAGATTAGCAGCTGAAAGAAAAAAAAACCCGAAAAACCAGCACTTTAAAGTGTCTTCCAAACCTCCATCTTTAGGTAACAGATAAGTGGTGTAAACAAAGTAATGTGCCCACAACCACAGGCAGTTTTCTGTTAATTCAGGCTGAAGTACTCCGAAAAAAAGGGAGGTCACCTTCCTCCCAAAGCTGCAAAGATGACTTCAGGGAGGAGCTGTGACCACAGGTGTCCCTGTAGCACAGACTTGCCTGTATGTGTGAGGGTTGGCATGGACTATAAACAGTAGCAAGCAGATGGTGTTTTAGGAGGAGAAAATATCAAATTTATGGCCAGAGGTTGTGCTTACAGTTACAACTGCAGCCTCACCACCTCCTCCTCAGTATTCTTACCAGCCATGCCACAATGGCTCCAGCCCTCTGAACAACACCTTTTCCATAGCCTGGTCATTGGACCCTCACAAAAAAAAAAAATCCAAACAGGCTAACCTGCTCCTCAGAAGACACACTGGCATGAACTCTGCTCCCCAGCTACATCTCCAAATGACAGGAGCTGCAGAGGGGGAAGAAGGAAGAAAATGTGGCTCAAACAGATCTCCTCTATCAAAGAGTCAGCACAGGAGGTTTACTTGCACCAGAGTGCAAAAGACTGCCAAAACTTACCTAGCATTTATTTGCAGAGCTGGGAGGAGAGCAGGGAGGTGTGGCCACCTAGGCTTCCCTCAGTTAGTGCCTGTAGCAAGAGCAAGTGCTCAGTTCAGGAGCTGTGTCTCACGGTCCTGTGCCATACATAGAAAGTGTCAATCAATCCCTCAATATCTTGTATTCTTTGAGATCCCTTTCAAAGCCTATTTAAGGGTATCTAAAACAACATAGGTGTTTGCATGACAAATCCCACACGCTGCATGCACAGACATGGTGGTGTTCAAAAGTGCTAAAGAAATAAATTCACCGTATCCTGCATCATGCTCTGTATATGGCACCGTGCTCCCAGCCTAGAAGGAAATAAGACAATCACTATATTGTATTATATGGGTTAGAATGAAGTGGCTATTTTCTACTGTGCTTTCACTAAGGTCCTGTCTTTCCAGGATGAAACCTTCATATTTGGGAATACTAAGCAGATTTATTCTGACACCCGTTCTCTGGGGAAAGTCTGCAGCTTCTCAAAGACAGGTCATGGATACAGCATCTTCATGGTCACAACCCACTGAAGCGCACTCATTATCACCCGTCCCAGCTGAGCTAATTAATCCTCAATAGTAATGGCTTGTTTTAATTGTCTGAGCTCTGTTAAGGCAGGACCAAGTGCCCTTAACTCCTCTAATTCTAGGAGCTGCATTTTGAGCTCACTTCATGATTTGTTTTTTTCTTTCACTCTTGCACTGTCTTTGCACTAAATCACATACCACAGACCACACCTTGGGAAAACCCATATCTTGAGGTTCCTGTCCTAGCCCAGGAAAAAGCTGATTTTACATGAAAGATGGCCCTACTTTGAAGGTGTCCCTTCCACCCAAAATGTCTGTAAGATAAAGATATTATACTACTTGAGTGGGGATAAGCAGAGTCAAAGCTGCGTGAAGCTGGGCTGACCCAGAGCATGGCCAGGGCACTCGGTTCCTCTGAGAGGAGATGCCTGGCTGGGGGCCAATGCCTGTCCAGAGATGTCTCCTTTGGGGCTGTTGATACTCAGCAGTGAGTATAAAATAATATCACATGAATGGGCTTGGGGGCAGAGTGACCACTCCTGAAAATCTGAGCCAGAAGCACTCACCCAGGGCTAAGTAGCGAGTGAACTGACAGAAGCACAAGCCTTCATTCTCCTTCTTGCTGGATCTCTCCTTTAGCCACAGACTCCATGGTGAAAACTTAGCTGCAACTTTATATAACAATTATGTCACCATTAGATTTCAGAAAGCACCTGCAGAATCCAGTTAACTTACCACACCAAAAACCAAGAAAAAACAAGGTACTTCAGATGAAAAGATAAAATGATGACATTGTTTTCAAGGGCAAAGCCTTTACAGTTTATAATTAAATATAACCCTCTATTTGCACTATTAACCAAACTTTAATGGAAATCCTTGAGAACTTTACTTAATACACTTTAATGATAAAATGTAAATAAGGCCTTTTTAAAGCAGGCAACAAACTTCTTTTGCAAACAACAGAAGGTATTTTGTCCACATCACCAATGTTACAGGTGATCCAGCTGAGGGGCCGAATGGACACAAACTGTACACTTTTCCCTTTCTGTATGAACTGGTGTAAATCAGGAGAAATTCAACTGGTCATTAAGCATAAGAAATAACACTGGGGTATGCTGTGGCTCTAGCATATTCAGCTATGGGTTTATATTTAAATATTTTTACAGTATCTTTTACATTGGTGCTTGGGGACTCCCAGGTAGTCAGAGATGCAATTAGATAAAAGAGACTATTTGACTTTTCATCCTTATTCCTTCCTGCCTTGCTTTTGTGGGTTTAAAGCACAATCTTTGGACTAATTAAACACATTTGAATATTCTGTTGCATGTGCAATGAATGAATAATTAGGCTCAAGAGAAAGATTATGTGCTTTCGAGCTGACACTAACACTTCAGCATAAAGGTACCCCAGGCACCACTAAATGTAACCCATGAGCTCCTGCTAATAGCACGCTGCCTCTGATCTCCAGAGGATTATCTTACTCTGGAGCTCTTGTAGGAGCTGTATACTGAAAGGGGCCTGAAACAGATACCCTGTAATTTACATCCCTGCGTTAGTGCCTCGGTGAGGAAAGGCGGCCTTTGCTCCAAATTGTAAGTGTTTCTTTCCTTCTCTGCTTTTCAGGTCTGAAGTTAAGGCACATGATCTTCAGGGTGCAGAATGCTGTAAGAAACCTCTGGGTGGTTTCAGGGAAGAAAGTGCATTTTTTTGCCTTTTTTTAAAATTTTAAATTCATATTCAGTACCACCTTTTTCCCCTATAAACACAGAGAAAACTCTAAAATAAATTATATAGACAAAATCCCATCTCTCTGCTCCAAAGTTAAAGATACCTGCTGCTTTATCCTCACCAAGTGCTATTATTTACTATACCTCATAAATATCAGTCCTTTTCCTTTCCTCTACTTGGCACTTTTCCCATCAATTTTATGCTGCTGCATTTTGTTTTTGTTGTTGTTTTTTAACAGAGGTTACCCTCCCAGCCACCACATGATAGTGATTTTTTTTCCCCCCATTTTGTGGTTGGACCAGCTTAGACAACTAGATAAATATTGTGGGGAGCTGACCCTCAAATATCAGGTTTTTCTGTATTTTTTCACAGAGGTCTTTATTTCCTCAAGTTCTGGGTGGTCCCCTTAAGACAGCAGGGAGACAAACCTGGTGTAGTGAAAGGAGGGGGGAAAGAAGAAGCAGAAAAATCCCCTTAGGATGTTTCCTGTGGTAAAACAGAGTAAGGAATATTTTCAGAAACAGTAAGAAATATTTTAGGGCAGCTCCAGAAAAATTGAAATCCAAGTCTTCTGTGGGGTTCAGTGAACCCTGCACATTGTGCATTTCCTCCAAAACCCAAAGCCAGGCAACTTGAACCTGATTTTGGAGTGAGTAATGGGGACCCTGGCATTTCTGTACCCCTTGGCAGCTGTGAAGAGGGTTGTGTGGGATTTTTTAAGATGTCTGTTTTTTCAGAGTAAAGTTTTGCTTAAAAAAACAGTGGGCTAGCTACTGAAAATCAGCCCCTATCCGCTATTGTCAGCCACAGATCCAGATGAGGGGCAAAGCTCCTTTACCAGCAGTACGGCTTTAGCATAAGCAATCTGCAAATTTCCTCTTATTTGAAAAAGAAAATGATACCTGGACAGGCCAGGAGATAACAACAGGCATGTAGCCTCAATGTCAGCAATACCTGTGACATTGCTAGCATTTCCCTCTGGTTAGCATGGCATATCACACGGTGCCATTGCAGTTCAGTCACTTTTCCATAGGGTCAACCCCCTTAAGAAACCTCCTCCAGCAGGAGGCTGGCTTACGGTTGTTGTTGTTGTTGTTTACACTGTCAATAGGGCATGTCCTCTGCCGGCACTGAGGAGAACTGTACCGGAGAAGATGTAGGACCTGTGTCAGTGTACTTGATCCCTGGATTTCATCACACATGACTTCACTGCAACTGCTTTGCTTTACCCCTTGCTCAACAACAGAGGTACCTCGACTTCAGAGCTTTGTATCTGTGCCCAGACTTCAAGGCTGACATACCTCAACATTGAGAATAAAGTGAAAATCTCCTTTACTGTTCCAAAAGCATGCAGTTTGCAAAGTTCAGGGATGAAACAGGTGCTTAGCTAGGGAACATTGTCTGCTGGTCCCAGCTTATGGTGGCCAAATCCAAACAAAGCTGCTCCTCTCCCTGGGCCGTAGGTAGTCAGGTTGGCCCCACTGATCCCCTTCTGCAGCCGACCCGCAGCCATGGTGGAGCTGCTCTGTGCCACTCACAAGTGCTCTGCTTGTCAGGCTTTCAGGGTTGCAGGTACCTGGCACAGGGCATCTCCTGGGACCCTTCTTCACTTTTCTCAAAGCCCTTTCTATTGGGAAGGAAAACCCAAAGTGCCTGCCTACTCACATGGATACCACCTATCTCAATGGGAGCTGCTGAGGCAGATTGCTAAACTTAATTACCAGTTCCAAGGGCTGAGACAGTGAATGACAGGTCAATTCATGCAGTGAGCTAGCAAAGATTGCTGATAAGTGCTTTCTAATTGAAAGGATGATAAAACAACTATTAGTCACTGAGGAGCTTGAAGAATGGGTTAGTCCTGGGGTTTTTTACACTATGAAGAGCAAGAGGTGCTAATCTCATCAGCACTCTGTTGTCATTTCCTACCAGCCTAGTCACTCAAAAGGTCCAGGAGGGATCATGAGTGACATTGCAGAGGGGTGACCAGTCACCGCTCCCTCAGTCCTATTAAGAAGATTGAATAGAAATAATCATTAGCCATGTGGATAAAGTCTATTGGACTCTGGAGAACATCAGACATTTCTGTGGATTAGGGAAAAAACAAAGAACAAAAAATAACCTCTTGCACAGGTCTCTCTTGGGAAACCAGTTGTGTTAACAACACGATGTATCCTTCACAGAGCACTTTTTTACCCAAAGTGTAATATGGAGGCTGTGGCATCAGAGGTCCAGGTACTCCAGTCCCCGCTCCAGCAGCAGCAATGATCTGCTGCATACAAGTAGTTTGAAACTTGGAGGCTGAACTTTGCACTAGAAAAACCTCTACATGGGCACACGTACCTGTTTGTCACTCAGGCATTAGGACAGTCACTCTGGCAGCAGGGCACAGCAGTCATACAGGATGAGAAATGCTCTGAGGTTGTCACAGCACGAAAAGTCGGTAGAGCTGCTTTGCAAAAGCCCTGTGCCTAGACATGACCCAAAAGTTACTTTCTGCTGCATTAAGTGACACAACACTGGGTGCTGAGAAGGCAAGAAAACAGCAACCACCCATTAGCAGGAACCTCTGCTGCCTTGTTTCCACGCTGTGCAACCCTGGATGATTTTTTTCTGCTGCTTCTCTTTCCTTTCCTCCTCTTTTCCCAGTCTTTCTAGACAAGGAGATGTTCAGAGTGAGACTGCCAGTGTACTTCTTCTGTGCCTAACACGAAGGGCTACAGCCCTGGCTAAAGGCTCTGGGTGCTGCTGTCACATGGAAAATCATCCAGGGCACTTGTACACACCACCTTGCTGAAATTATAGCCATGTTAGAGGTGAGCCTGGGACGTGGCCAAGTGACACAGGCCACAGAACACGTATAAAGTGAGGTTTTGCCAAAGGCAAAAGGTCAAGGCATTTTTGCACCCTTAAGAAGCAGACTTCACTTTCTGCATTAGGAAGAAGTGCCTTACTTTCCCTTTTTTTCCCCACCAACATCCACACAGAGTTCTCACTATATGGTATTTGGCATCTGCAGTGTGAAACCCAACATTTTCCAGGAGGTCTCAGTACTCCCAAAACTGTGTTTTCCATGTTTGACTAGTGACAGATTTGCTGTCTGTCCACCAAAAATTGTGTACATTTTTTCTACAAAGAAGACCATTTTGCATGGGAAAGAGTGTGCCTGGCTGGTGCATCTGACTAGATATTGACATCAGGGGAGAGAGACCATATTTACACTAACCAGTGTGTGAAAGTAGTCCAATGATGGCATGATAACTGCTTGTATTTATGGATTCAATGAGTTTGCAAATAATTCCAGATTCCCAAACTCTTGGAAGTGCAGATCAATCTTGATCAGCTCATTCTTTTGCTCAGTATACTTTACCTCAAGTCAAAAGCCCCTGACTATGGACAGACACCTTCTTCACAGTCAGATGTGCAGGTAGATATTTTGACAGAACTGCATGAGACAAGTCAGATCAGCAGCTCTGCCAGTAAAATCTTTTAGATGTAACTTGCAAAGGTGGGACAGGGCAAAACATTCTTCCAGCAATTGCATCCAAAACATTCTTCCAGCAACTGTGGACCAACATGTCCAAAGCCAGGAGTGTAGTGACTACAATATTATAGTAACATTTAAACCAGGAGCCTCATGTAGTGCCTGACCATGAATGAAGGTCACCTTGGGCCACGCTACACCACATCTCAGACTTGATCTCCATACACTCTCCATGTTATAATTATCTATCAAATATAGTTACGCATATATAAGTATGCATCAAATATATATTGGTTTTGTTTATGTAGTCTCTAAGAGTACTATCCCTGTTGCACAGGAACCTGTGTTGGTATAAAACTTTTCTTCACTGACTAAGTAAAATATATTCCTATAATATATTTATTTATGGATATTTTTAAAATTAATTGTTTATACTTACATAAATATTTCTAACTTAGAGATAAGCTGTGCCACTCTACATCCATACAAACTCCTATGTGTCCATTCTCACTGCAGGCTTTTGTACTGGTGTTTGGAAAAGTGCACCTGCTGAAGCAGCCCAGTCCGTGGTTGTGGTGGTTATAAAGCTTCAGCATACCTGCCAGTAAAGGCTCCCTTGCCATTTTCACACATACTATGGAATAAAAGAAACATATCACAATGCCACAGAAGCTTTTCTCCTTCACTCCATGTTTTCATCATCAGTGAACATCCTTTGGATCAAAGATTGATCCCAGGAAAAGGTTAACAACAGTGTCAGCAGTGCTTAGGCAGTTCCTCCAAATGGCCTACCTAGGGGTGCACTACAAATCAGATCAGGCAACTGATCCCCTTTTATTTTAATAAAAACATATTTAATTTTTCAGGGTCTCTTTTTTTTCTTGAAACATTTTTTCAAGCCAGCTGCAGCTGCATCCTTCATCTCCTCAAGCCACAGCCTGAATTAGCATCCATTTAAATTAATAAGACAGATATCCCAAGTTTTATGTTTCATACTCACAGCCAAGCTGAGCAGATGTGATGCATGTTTACAAATGCAGAGACATTTTGGGAGTTGCCCTGTTTGATGTCTGGACTTGTTTTGTACACACTCCTCATATTGCTGAGAGTTCTTGGGGGAGGATTCTTCCATGGTGACTTTACTAAATGAAACAAAATGAAGACTCCTTCTGTTTAAGTCAAAGAGAACTTGGCTTAAAGCTTTTTTTTCTTTTTTCCAGTTGCAAGATATCTCTTTAGCCTATATCTAACTATGTCATCAGTAATTAGGCATGTAAAGGAAATCAATCTCAACAGGGATGTAAGATTCAAAACCTGCCAGTAAGCAGTAGATAACAACTCTTTTTAAGCACAAGCTCTTCAAAATTATGCTTATTAGTGGAATACAGTCTCTGAGTCAAACTCCCAGATAACCTAACAATAATTAATTTTGTTGAAAAGAATAAGCCTGAACTGTTGTGCTGACCATAGGAATACAAACTACTAAGATAAAGCCTGGACAGAGTTCCTCTAGGCTGGGAAGTATGAGCAGCAGCGTGACAATTGCAAGGAGGGACAGCAATGTAAAAAACAAACTTACCAACAAAATAAAAAAAAAACCTCCTAACACAAATTTAGGCCTGGGAAATGCATGTCAGCCAGTAAGGAACTCTCTTGAAGTTACCTGGAGATTCCCGGTGTCCTGACCAGGTGCAAACCACAAGGACCACTTTGGGGGAATTTGTTTCCTCCAGTGGTTGTTTGCATCAAAAAGTTTTCTCTGATAGTTACTGGCACTAAGATTTCCCACCCAAGCAGACAGGAAAACATGGCAAAGCATAATTATTTTGTGATCATACATGTACTTCCACATCTCTGTACACACACAATCACATGCAAACACTGAGAAGGGCAAATGTGGAGCTGAAGAGAGGCAGTGTCCCTTCTTGGTTAAATGTCTGCACACGTAACATCAGGTTCAAACACTGAGGTGATGTAAATTGGAAATGCTGTGTTTAAATCAGTAGAGTAAGGCCGTTTGATGCTCATCCAAAATGTCTTCTCTAAATACGTAGGCAGGCCATGCCCTCCTAAATCTGAGCAGATCCACTGAGTCAGAGGTAGTTTACAAATAATCAATTTTATTCTTTTTTCCTTTCACCTGGAACATATTAATCCATAAAATTTGGGAAAAAATGAAAACCCACTGCAGTGTATTATTAGATTTTGAAAAATCCTGCATTCAACAGTTGGAGTTGGAGTTACTTCCAGGAGTTAGATTAACTAAGTTGCTCTAGCAACACAGTTCTTGAGATGCAGTCAGCAAACCAAGACTACAAAAACAAAGAACCTACAAATCAAGCCCACAAGGACAGGCAGCTAGTTCCATTGCTTCTGACAGCAAGGTAGTTTAAGCCCTGCTTTCATTTGGCCATGTGTGTCCTTAGTGATTTTGAAACTGGGAAGGACCTATTAGATATGTTGAATTGGGGTACTGCCAGTAGCTATTGCTTTCAAGACCTTTACACAGTGAGATGGGAAGAATGTGTCCGTGAAATAGATACTGGAGCCAGTGTGTTTGTGCATGTGTGTGTCAACTTCAGAAGGAAAAAGGCCTGAATGAGTTAGATCTGTAAGCTTAGCTCCCTTTGGGAGAACTCCTCCTCCAGAAACCTTCTACTTTTTCAGAAAATACACATTCTTATTATTCCAGCTCTCTCATATATTTTGTAATTCTGACATGCAGTGAGATCAGTGTCTACCTTGGCATTAAGGACTCCTGCAATTATGGCACAAATGAGGAATAAAATATCGAGACTGCTGCAGAGATACACAAACTGATGTATAGGAAGGTTTAACATGCTGCTTAACATTCACGAATAAGAGTGCAGGTGTACCCAGATACATCTCTATCTTTGCTTTTATAGTTTCCACTGAATGACTATTTAGTCAAAATTCTTCTATATCACAGAAAGAGCCACTAGGAAGACACTTGGAAGTTGAAAGGACATCACAACACTTTGCCTGTCTGTTTCCATCTTGCATCCATACCCTGTGATTTCAATTCCTTGGACTGAAGAGGAAGATAAACCAGCTGCCACTCCAGAGCATCACTCTGATAGGGAGGCAAAGATGTGTGGATGGAGAACAGCTCAGAGGACACACAGCTGGCCGCTGGTCACACTGCATTGCTTGCTGCACCCCTTGACTCGGTGCCACTTCCAGACTTGCCTTGTAGCTCCATGAGCCCTTTTATCAGCCCTGACACCTAGGAATTGCCTCTCTTTGTGATTTTAGAGCTCCCTGCTCCCTCCATACTGGTAATGGAAGCAGCCAGGCATCTGGAACAATTGGCAAGTCCCTATTGCCCTCCCACAGAGTGGGGCAGGCCCTCCCATCCATTTGCTCTCTGGACCAGGAGTGTGGGAGGGGACAGGGGTCCTACCCACATGGCAGCCATGGCAGCCGAGCTCAGCTGGGAGGCGCCTGCAGCTCCCAGGTTCAACCCCTCCACATCAGCAACTGGAATTTCTCAGATGAATGCTCCTGACCTGGAACTCACTCCCCTTGGCAGCTGCTCAGACCTTGAGTCTAATAACCTTCAGGGCGCCACACAAACTTCATTCATTTTGTTTAACCTTCGATTAACTGAGTTTCTTCTACAGTTTTCTCTGGGATTGAGCCCTCCATGGCAAACAGGAGTGAAACAAACTTGTTAAGTTTTTCTGCTAAAGACAGCAGGGCAACAAAGTATCCCATGCTATCTAAACCAAAAAACAGTACTGAAATGTGTACAAGAAAACAACCTTAACATTGATAAACCTAAAAACACTGTCTGTAAAGAGCTGACTGCCTCTGCTTGTCTCTTTGGTGAAGAAAACATTTCAGACACAGAGCAGGGATATAGCAAAGGGCCAAAATAAAATGCAGAATTAATATATTTTTTAATTTGTATAAACACCTGCTATACTAAGGATGCAAGAAAAATATTTCTTTCCTCTCTGAGCAATTGCCAGAGCTGCTGCAGAGACATTTTGCAATTGTGAATACAAAAGCAGGTGGTTTATCTGGCAGTGAAGCTGTGGTTATGATGAAAGTCTGAGGACTCTGTGATGGCATACACATGATCCCCTGTGCTACAGCTCATCCAGTCTCTCACCTTTTTTTCCATGACATTGGATTTTGTCATGATGTTTTTGAACCCTTGCCTGTGGTTTCAGATCATCTCCTCCCTCAGGTGAAGGGACTGCCTCAGGGAAAGACAGCCTAGCCAAAGGCTCTTGTCCTAGTTGCCAGGATGAAGTAGGGGAGGGGAGGAGAGGTTTAAGGGATTTTAGAGTGTTCCCTGTAATTTGACAGTTGTTAATCATGTTCCAGCTCTCTTAGTGCCTCCAGCTCCTTCATAACTTGGTATGTACCTGCAGAACTCCAAGGGTTTCTATGGAGCTGCATAAGATGAAAAGAAAGAAACCTGAGTTGTTCCCAAAGCACTTCAAAATTAATTGGCTAGATTGTGGTGTGGAGGTTTGTTGAGCTTTTTCAAAAATCCTGACAATTTCTGCGGCTCAAAGCAGGTTAGAACTGACTTTCAGAGTCAGCATGGTTGGAGCACATTGCATTTCCTCAAAGATAGGAGAAGAGAATCATTTCACACTTTGCCTGGATTTGCAGTAACACTGGAGGTATGTGAATCACAGCGATAAATGTTGCAATGCACAGCGGACTCCTGATTCAAAGTCTTCCTTTATGAAGCTTTCCTATCTCTAAGACAGTATGATGTAGCTCTTGGGTAGATCCCAGATCTGGGATCCCACTTCAGCACAAACCACTCTGAGAGCTTTGTGGCAGAGATGAGTCCTCTCTTCCTGGCCAGACAGTGCAAACACAGCTCAAACCCGCTCATCTCCTTTGGGCTGGACCTGGTGAGACCTGGAAAAAGGAAGAAACAAACACTACAACTTTTTGTGCCTCAGCCATAGTAAAGGACAATCTGTACACGGCTAACACCTATTAACTCAACCATTAGTGGTCCATACACTGGGCTTTCAGCTCTGCGTATTTTCAGTTTGATCCCTGGTAAGGCAAGGTAGCATCCACCACAGATATGGCCCCAAGCTTTTGGGGGAACCAGGCAAAACCCTGTGACTTCAGAATCTAGATCTGCATCCATATTTTGTAGCTACTGCCCAGCCCTGCTCTGCATTAACAGTTTTGGAAAACACCATCACAAGAAGAAGGGGAAAACAAAAGTTTCCTACTCTGTGTGATGAAGATCCCACTTGGGAAATCACCTACCCCACTACTCCTGCAAACAAGATGCCAGGCATAAATATTTCACCCAGCTGAAAGTAAATACAGATCCTTCTGCTAAACCTGCAGCTCCAGACAAACAGAAAAAGGCTTAAATGAAGGTGTGAGACCAAAAATGAGCTTCAACAGCATGAGTAGGCACAGTGCTGGGGAGCACAGGGAAGCAGAGGTGAAATCATTTAGCAAGAGTACATGGTGGGAATTTGAGTGACTCACAGGAGCAGCAGCTTTCATTATTTCAAACCATTGAAAAACACCCTTGGTCCCCACACCAGGGTGTGGCTGCACATATTGAAGCTGTCTCAGGTTTCAAGTGGTGGAGGCATCAGTGGGGCATCTGGGTACCCCTGGGACTCCTCCCTGCCCCTTGATTCCCGGGCAGAGTGGCAGGATCTGCACATGCTGTGGAGGGCTGCCGACATTCCTGATGTTTCAGGCGATCCATGTGGTGGGGGAAGGTAGCCCCCTGCCTGGGGTGCCCCCCTTCAGGGATACACTGGCAAGGGGATCAGCCTGTGTGTTGCTGTGAAGACAAAACTTTGATCTTCCATCTTCTGAAAAAAGTAAAGTGGTGGGAAGGATAGAGAGGGGAGAGGAGGTCACAGAGCATGTAACCACCCAGAGATATTGCCCACCACCTGGGAATCCCCCGAGCATGGGAGAGGGCTTCCTTTGCCAGAAAGCTCAGCCAGCTGTTTTCCCAAAGGGCTCATTGGGGTTACAAGTATCTATGCATAACAAGGAGCATCTTTTAGCCTGCTCTGCTTTATATTAAGGACTTAGTAAGCACTTTCTTAATTCATTTAGTGACATCTTTCCTTCATTTCCCAAAGTCAGTCACCCACTGAAAAGACTGACCTTAGTAAACACCAGAAAAAGAGTACCATTCTTTTCACAGAAAAGCTTGGCATTAGTTCCCACTAACAACTGCAGAATCCTTATGGAAGAAGCCAATTAAGCAATAAAGCACAATAAGGTACAGGCTATTACACTAACATAATAATTCACACCTACAGTATTGCTACTAGAATCACACCTGCAGTGTTGCATAAAGCCAAAAGCCAGGAACTGTTAAAACAAGCTAGCCAGTTTATTATTACAATATAATTTCTGCCTGGGGATACACTGCAGAAAAGATAAAATATTGGTATGTGCTCTTATTAGAGTGTTAAAAAAAATCTGGGTTTTAAAAGGGAAATGAACAAGTGGTTTAATAGTAAAGTCCAACGGAGCTTGCTTAATTTAAAACTATACAAAGCCAAATGCTGAAAATTAGCTAGTGGGGTGGGAGTCTGCAACAGAACAGGAAAGGAGTGGGTGAGGTGACACCATGGCATCTCGCATCTGGTCTGTGGCCTGCTATCATGGGGCAGGTATTTAGCTGACCTTAACTGAAGGACCTCATTGAAGCCCACAGAGCTATTATGTACATAGAGCTAGCTGCTGGGCTGGAAGTAATTTGACAGAAAAAAAATGAAGTGCTTAGTCTAAGTATCTAGCATGCTTTCTCTTTGAAACATCCCCCAGCGATAACTATCATAATTATACTTCCTTGCTCAGGTTGGTTACAGAGGAATTAGGCAGCCATCACCCATTCTTGCTCTATTGTGAAGAGTTTCAGCTGCGTTAAAGGCATGGGACATGGCAGTACTCAACTGTGTCAACAGAAGGTCATTCCATCCTAAAGCACTCCCAAAAAGGAAGAACTAAAAAGATCCAGACAGTAGAGACCCCCTCTCTTATGGCACTCCCCAGATAGTTAAGAAAACAAAAGAAAGGTATTGTTTTCTTACAGAATTAATGGGGCTGGATGTTCCCATTTCACTTGGTTATGTTCCCATTTCACTTGGTTATGACCCTAATTGGACCAGTTCCAGAGGGAGTGGTGCTCTGGTACTTGGGAAGTACCTTTTCCATTTAGAATTGTGGCCGGCCAGAGAGCAGATGTAGCCTGTTCCTGCTCCAACACCTGGCAGGTTCTGGGGGCTCATGGGGGAGCTGAATGCTGGCATTCAGCCTTAGTGCACCTGTAACAGTGCCTGAAGCTGCCTCTGGCGTCACAGGCAAAATGAAGGCACTGCCCATTCCCACTCACTGGTAAGAAACCTACTCCTTACTGTGGGCTCCTTTGGCAGGCTGGGGCCCTGACTAACAAGCCCCACAGCTTTTGTGTCTCCTCATTGCCCTGATGGCCCCAGGCCGGTCACCTCAGCCCTGCTATCACATCCTCCTCCTGCCTGGCCTCCCCGGCCTCTGCTTTCCTGTCTGCCTGACGAGCTGCCGCAGAAAAAATCTTCCCTTCCCACTGCTCAGACCTTGTCCCCAGGTGCCCCTGGGTGGCGATGGTCACACCAGATCTGCTGTGTGGAGGCTGCAGCCACCTTCCCTGGTAACACTTTAACTCTAAGCAGCCAGGCAGGCAGGTGAAAGGTCAGGGTGGTCCCTGCATTGCCCCTGCTGACAGAGTCCTTTTCCCTGCTGTGGCACACCAAGGTCCCATGTGCAGTCAGCCTCCTCAGACCGGGTATCCATCCTGCCCATGTCCTATCCTGCATTCTGGATCCCCAAGAGTCCCTTTGGGACAACAGCCAGGCATGATGCTTGCCCACCACCAGATGCAGAGGTCTGGAGGGCACTTGACCTCAAGCCATGTCCCTGTGCCCTAAGTGGCCCCTCAGATCTGCAGGCCATGCCAGTCTCCAGGAGTCCATGTGTGACAAAGCCCAGGGATCCAGGCACTCCCTGAGGAACTGAACATAGAACCTGGTGGAAACCCCACAAATTAAAGGCCACAGAGTTATTAAGGATTACCACTAATTAGTTAAACAAACCTTACCCTCTGTGATTTCCATGGAGACTCGGTGGCCCCAGCCTCCACTGCTTCTCTTTGGAGCTGAGAAGTTATCAGGGGCACTTCCCTCAAAACTGGGCTGAATTGCAACATTTTTCAGTGGCAGTGTTTGCTTTGGTCTGAGGATTTCTGTGTGCAAAACAAACAAAAAAAAAAAGAAAACCCAAAACACAACAAACAAGTAGATAATTTCTAGGAACAAATTAATGTGTTTAGGGACCAAGCTGGAAGAAGGGGGTGAGGAAAAAAAGCAAACAGTGAGGGACTTTAGAAATGCCTGGAACATGCCCAGAGCTTGTCCCAAAGTGAAATGGGGTGAAAAAGGGTCAGATCTTTTTCTTTCAAATTTGTATTCTACCTGTTTAAGTGGCTCCTTGAAAACTTGTAACAGCCAAAAGTGTGTTTCACTGCTCTGAAGTAAAAGTAATCTGGTCTTCCTCTGCTTTTTTTATGAAACATCCCTTTACAAAGGTATACACTGCTCTCTGTTCAGCTCCCAAGCTACACTACTGAACTACCACACACACAATTCATTCTAAAACCTAGGAATATAGGGGAAGAGGAGTGACACTCTGTACACTTCTTTCTTTTTTCTGTAGACTTCTTTTTTTTTCTTTCTTTTTTTTTTTTTTTTTTTTTTTTTTTTAAAAAAACTTTTTTAAAGTTGTTTTTAAGAAGACATTTCTAAAGATGTGGCAAGCGGGGAAAAAAGGCACAGAAAGAGACACATTTTATATTAAAACCAGATGTGGAAAGGGGGGAAAAAATTAGGTTTGTGCCAACCGGCATCAAGGAGAATTTTTTGTGTTTCAGCTTCGGAGTTGAATCTGCAGCATGCCGCGCCACATGCTGATATCCATCAGTGTAATGACTACGGCATCTTAGCAGCATAACACTCCTGCCAGCAGAGAGAGGGGAGTTGGTAAACTAAAATCAACCTCTTCTCTCCATCTATTACAGTATAACCTTTTGGACAGTTAGTGAAAACTGGTTCAAACTGTGCTGCCGTCCAAACTTCAGACCCATTGAAAGGCCTGCCTTGGCCCCAGGCCAAAGTCCAGTGTTTTATTACCAGTCTCATGTCTTTCTCTCCCTTGCGTTCCTTTACCCACTTATTTTCTTTAGCTTTTTATTTTAAAAAAAAATAAGAAAAAGAAGAAGAAAATAAGTATCCTTATAGTACAATTATCTTAACAAATTCTGGTACATGTCACAGACCTCATTAATTGATTCCACATCCAAAACAGAAGACTTGGACTATTTTTGTTGTTCAAAGCTGTACATTGGCCAACATCCTCTGCATATAATTAACCCCCTATTTCCATGGAATCTCTGCATTAACTTATTACAGACTCGGCTGGTAATGAACTCCCTGGAGAAGTCCACACACAAACATTGGCCATTGGCTTCGCTGCCCACGTGGATTAAACAAAAATTAATCTCATCTATTTGGTTATTCATTTGGTGTCTTTAAATTGGAGGCATTTTTCTGCTTCGTTTGATGCACACAAAGAAAGAGGGATCTGGCTACTGAACTTTATCCAGAAACATCCATGTGTGGAGCAGATTAATGGGAACTTTTCATACCCATAATAGCTTTACAGCAACGAAGTAGAACACGCAGTTCTCCCTGGGTGACTATAATGCTCTGGGAGACAGGGAAAACAAATGTGGCTAGAAGATAGTAATGTTTTGCTCATCAAGTGCTGTGTAGTTTAGACATCACTGAAGTGACGTGTTTAGAACTGAACCTGGAAGGAAACTCACATTTTGTTAATGTGGGGGGGTTTTGTATTGTTTTGATTTGTTTTTTGTGGTGCACTCAAACTTCTAGACACTGAAATAAAAAGAAGGATGTGACAGATAGAGATGTCCCAAAACAGCTGCTGGTATCAAGTGACCACATGTAAAATGGTAAAAGGGAATTGACAGGCAGACTAGTAAGGAAAAGTGGAAGCAGCAGGGATTGCTGACTCTCCCTCTACCCACTTCTCACTGGAAATGGTGATTTCTAAATAAAGAGAACAGAACAGATATTTTTATATGACTTATAACTTAACTGGTAGCAACCACCTAGCTGAAATCCCAGAGAGCAAAATCCCTCCTTCTCCAGGCTTTGCACTGACCACAGCTCAGCCACCTTACTGCTGTGCTTTTCCCCATGGGATAAGGCAGGGTAAGAATAGCATCGTCCTTTGGAAAATGCTCTGAGAGCGACTAGAGAAGGCTTTAAGTGGATAATTCTAAATAAACTCACTTCTCCCCTGCCTCCTCTCTACCTCTCAAACTCTTTCTCAAAAAGAGGGCAGCTCCTGAGTTTTGGTTGCAGTCTTCAACAGCAATCATCACTATACCATGTGGGGATCTCTCTGGTCCCTTGGGATCACATGGATGTGTCCTGAAGAGGTATCATCAGGAGTAATGGTCTTTTCTCCCTGCTGTGGACACAAAAACTGCTTCTTGGCATTAACTGCCTTTGTCAGGTCAAAAGCATCAAGGTCGTTCCATCTGTGCTAAGGAACTTCTTCAACCAGACCCTTAAAATTCATGCTCTAACTTCTGTGGACAGTACTAATCCCGTTTCTTGCATGAGATCCAAATGCAGCAAACCTGCCTTTCCCGTAAATGCCCCTCCCTGCCTCTCATGTGATTTTGGTTCTATTTAGAAAATACTCATTACTTGGAAAGGTATTTATGCAAATTTTCAGTTGAGGGTGTGCCATGTGCTGTGAAAACTCACAGTACTGCCTAAGTCACCTCCTTGTACAATATTCCTGCTGTTGTAGGATATTGTGGGAGATGAGTAGACCCGGCCACATGCTTCAGAGCCCTCGGGATTTCCCCCTGACAAGGGCCCAGACAAGTACTCCTCTTCCTGCAAGCCAGGGACGGAGCCCCTCCAAGACTAGCACCTCAGAAGTGGCCTGAGCAGACTGAAGGACCACATGCAGCACAGCCCATTTCTCACAAGGGAGCTGCTAGCCAGGATCAATGCTGGACAAAAGCTCTGCCTGTCTCTGCAATGCTGTCATTTTCAGACCGAGCTTTTCAGGCTCACCAGGCACTTGCTCAGGTGATTAAAGGTTGGGGTGGCAATTCCCTGCCTAACAGCCCCCAAGCCAGCTGGATTAAACTTCCCTGGTGCTTGTTTATGTGCATCAAATCCTCCCCCTGCAGAGGAGCGGGGGCAGATGGGCTTGGAGGAAGGTGAACATGGTGGCCCAGCTCCTTCTTGGAGGCATCTCTCTCCTCCTGCCCCCCACCTCTGCAGCCAGCATCCCCCCAGGCAGCAGGGCTGAGGCAGCAGCTGGCTGTTCCCCTCTACATCCCCAGCAGCTGCTGTACTCCTGCCACCTCAACATCCCACAGGCATGGTGAGCTACATCAGTGGGAAAGCAGCCAGAGGTCACTGGTGTACAGCAAGAAGCAAAAATTATCAATGTGCATCAAAAATGGTCAATGTGCCATCTCTGCAAACAGCCTGGAGCCCCACAGTGCAGGAAGCACAGATGGATGAAGCCCCTCAGGGAGGAGGGGACTACCTGCCCTGCACCTCAGCCTTGCAGGAGGGAGTGGCAGGAGCCGTGTACGTTGTAATACCTGTTTCAGATACACCTGAACAGAAAGCATGATAAATCGCTGAAGGGCCTGGGAAAAGAGAGAGCATTCACATCCATGGCCTTAAGTGCTCTTCACCTGAAAACCACCTGCTGAGATGTTGCCATGACTCTCATGGCAATGCCTCCAGGGTGGTGTGTCCTGAGGTGACATTGCCATTCATCTCCTGCAGTTTGAAAGACGAGCAACAGGACGGTGACTGAGTGCCCCATGCCTTCTGTGTCTTTGTCAGGATGGACAGGGAGTGGATAGGCTTTGTTCATCCAGCAAATATCTCCAGTCACTTCTGACAGGCTGCCACAACCTACTGGCCGACATCTCCTGGCAAAAAAGAAGGAGAGCAGAAAGCAAAGGGTGTACAGAAAATGGAAATCAGGCTTGAGGACAAATACCAAAGCCAGTGAGGATGTGGCTGAGACCCACCCACTTCTGCAAAGCAGCTTTGCAAGTTCTTTTCCCACCAGTATTTAACCAGTCAACCAGTTCATCTAGTCAGCTACGTCAGCAAGCACCTCTGCTCCAACCACACCACTCTGGTCCTCCAAGCAGTTGCTGTTCAGCCCTGCTCAGGCACACCTCTGCCAGCTGGAAACACACCGGCTCAGGTACTGAAGCCATGCAAAAGAGCAGCAAGGCACAGGGGATCAGCTAGCTGCTGGAGGCTGACACAAGTTCTCCAACACAGCTGCCCAGCTCGCCTTTTTCCAGGCCCAGGGTGCCTTTTCCCAGGAACAGGGTGTCTCCGGCTAGATTACAGAAAGCAGAGCACAGCTAAGTCCAGGGCACAGCAAGAAGAGGAAGCAAAGCAGAAGTGTCACGTATGCTCACTGCATCAAACCCAACATCTGAAGGACGCTACTGTCATTGACTGTACGTAGATAATTTCTGCAGGCAAACACATCAGTTGGACGTGTCCAGGCCCATGTTCATTACCAGCTTGGAGATGAAGCTGGTGGGATTCCTGCAGTGCTGAATTACTTGGCTCATTGCTAGCACACATTCTCACATACGAGTTTTTGCACCAGAGTGCAAAAAACATTGTGTAAGAATTGTGACTTTAAGATCAGGATTGCACCTAATCTAGCAGTCTTTATTTCACAGTTCCCATGAAAACAACAGTGCAATTGCCCTTTAGTCAACATTTACTAATGCTTCCAAAATACTGGGAAGAATTTTGCTGATCACCCATTTCCTTACACTTCACAAAGTAGCTGAAATAAACCCTTAAAAATTAAAAGACGTGCAACAACCAGGGGAGGTCTGTAAGCTGCACCAGTTGAGTAACCAGCCAGCAGATTACAGCACAAAAACCTTTTCAAAGGGAACTCGACAGCAGAGCATCGCTGAGAACTCCATGAATGAAGATGCTGAGTGGCCTCTGAGGGACGATTTTGCTGAAAGTCAATGAGACCCTAGGGGAGAGATTTAGGGAATTCACTTCTCATTCAGCCTAAAGTATTCTCAAAGCAACTTGGATATCCACACCAACATCCAAAGCCTCCTGCTCAAGCACCCAAAATTCAGACCACCCACAGCTTTTGCACACATTCAGGCCCCCAAGGAGAGTCGAGGCTTGTCTAGTGGATCCAGAGTTTCCCACTTCTCTGCTTCTCGTATTTCCTGACTCCACGGAAACTACTCTCAGCACAGGAGGGAGCTGCCTGTATTAGCAGGAAATGTAGCCTGGAGAGGAAGATGAGGAGAAAGCAACTCCTACTGCTCTTCAGCCAGCCAAAACCATCCTGCAAGCTTTGCAAGGCTCTGCAAGGAAGAGCATGAACCTCAGGGAACCTGTGGGGCATGTGATTGCCAGGTGACATCTTCCCAGGAGTCTGGTAAAGGGCCAGCTGATGGAAACAGTGACCAGGCAGCAAGTGGAAACCCTGGGATTTCAAAGGGTTCCTTGAAGTTTAAAACTTTATGTCCTCCATCACACGCTTCCCAATCAGACTTCCCATGATCACCATACAATTTTTCTTTACTCTTGATGGTGCTCTGGATGAAAGATACCAATCCATCTGTAATCACAGAAAAAGAACATTATAAAAAGTCCCAATAAGCTGTTGGGACCCAGTAATTTCTATGAATTTCATTAAGTTCAGGAAAGAAAAAACAGGAAATTGATCTGCAGTAAAAGCAGACAATGCTTTGTCAGGAAAGAGTAGAACTTCCCTATTTATCAAGCTGGGAAATGTCAGCTGGGGTTTTAAAACCCAACCTTTATGTGTCAAAAATGTAAAACTCACAGTAGAGCCAGGCTTCCAAAAGTTTATCTACACAGTTGCAAGCCTTGTATAGACATGAGGAAGTACTACCAGCTCAACAAATACTGTGATTATTACAGTGAGTTATTCAGGCCAGCTCTGTGAATGTGTATTTAATTTTCAGTTTATTTTGGTTTTGATTAAAATTGACTTCAAAATCAATTATTCTGGTTTCTAACCAAGTTGTCCACTTTGTAACAATTTTAAATTTTCCTCTCGGTTGTGGAAAGCAACTTTCCCACAGAGCAGAGGACAGGACAAGTTTTATTTCACACCTTTGTTTATTTGTGAACCCCTGTTTGGAGCTAGTCTTATTTTAGAATAAAAGCACTCATGCAGGGACTCAAGTAACAGGAGAGTTAGACCCCATATAATTATTTCTGAACATTTTGTGTGTACACCAGCTTTGTATCACAGCACCCATGCTGCATGCCAGTTCTGATGTCATGACATAACTCATTGTAATAGATTATTTGGGGATTAAAACCAAAACAAACAGGTATTATAAGGAAAAAATATTGCCACATGAGGGCATGCTTCATCTCTTTCAACAGCTTGCCTTTTCAACTCAAATCTAAGTCAAGTTATATTTTAAGACCTAGTTTTAGAAAAAGGAAAGCTCAGGTTTTATTTATGATTTGCTAGGTTTGTAACATACCAATTAAGTGCAAAATTAGCACAAACCTTGAAAAGAAACATTCTTTGCTTCCATCTGTGGTCACACTATTTTCCTGTGGTGACAGCAACATGCACTTTGGGCTTAGGGCAGAGGAGATGAGCTATCTCAATGCATAATACTCGTGTTCTGTACCACGTTGTACAAAATAAGCACAGCACAAAATCCAAACACAAAGTTATGAAAGACATAAATTTCACCTTTTGCCCAATGGGAACAGCTTCCCGGCTGACGAGGCACGTCAAGGCAAAGGGAGGCACCTTGTACTGTTCTCTTGCAAAAGAAGGGCAGGGTTGCAGGGTTCCCCAGGGTTTCCCAGCTCTAACACACCACTGGATCCGTCTCCTCCCAGAAAAGTTTGAGTCTGCAGCCCCTTGACCGTGAGATTGCTGCCAAACCTGCAGCAGACATTCCTGGGGATTCCTCAAGTCACATGGTCACCCCAACGGAGTGTCCCCTGCTAAGTCCCTCTTTTAGGCAAAACTACCACTATCAAGATTTCAGAGCCTACCAAGTCACTTGTGCTAACAGCCCAGAAATTAATTGGGTCTGCAGACCGTACTGCAGACGGGCAGCAAGAGGTTAATCTGTCCACCCAGACAGCTGCACCAGAGCAGGAATCCTCAAGGCCACAAACATTCTCTGGTCCTGAAAGGAGGATTTTGGACCCATGGTGGAGCACAGTGATTAATTAGGAAACCACAGCACCCAAGTGTTTGAGTCACTACAAGTAATTTTTCTTCTAGTGAGTCAGAGTATCTGCACATTCTTGCTTCCTGAAGACTTGAGTACTTAAGCATGCAGCATCCCACTCTGGTATCATGTCTGTGTCATGGAAATGATTTCACAAAACATTAGGATTCTCCCAGCTAATTCTGTTCTCTAGTCTGTATCCACTGATGTTCAACATGCTACAGGATCTGGCTTGTGGTGATTTGTTAAAATCAATTGGGAGGGTGTTTTCCCACATTCCAGAGGAGCAGGGTCACTCACAAAGTTTCAGAGCCTGCAACTCACCTGGCCTGGGCTCAGCCATTCCTGCCAGAGGAGCACCAGATCCTGGAGCCTTTACCCTTGGCTGGTCCAGGGAAGGAGGAAGCTGCAGGGGCTGTAGCTTTCCCAGCACACGGCTGCACAATTTTAGAAGTCTGAGCTTGTGCTGACTAAGATGTTCACACTGACGATAAAAGCCAGCTCACAGGGGAAATCTTTCTTCAGTTTCTCCCTTTATCCAAGAGATGTAAATTCACTGTGTGTGTCTTTCACCACCGCACCCATGCTCCAAGATGACTTCATCTGGCCACAAAAAGACAGACGAAACACGAATGATCCGATGCTTGTGAAGACAGGTGCAGTAAAAGCCTTAGGTGGAGCGGTAAATAAGTTGAGAGACGGGCTTTTAATCCGATGATGTGGAAAATACTGAATTCCCACATATTTTTGTTGTTGTAAACATCTTTCAATCATAAAACTGAAAGATGCCAGGCTTTATGTTCTCACCATAAAATATCACAGGAAAATGCACTGTGGTATTAGATGGGAGCATCACGAGTATTCTGTGCTAATGGTGACTACAGTTTTGCTCTTTCTTCTGTGTTTGTACCAAAAGTAGTTTTGAATTTATGCCAGAGTACATAAATACCTGGACATTTACATTTGCACTATGCCCCTGGAGGGGCAGACCTGAAGGAACAAGAACCCTGGTTGTTTAGGCAGGGATCAAGTTTCTCCTTATCTCCTTTGCCAGGCCATGAACTGCTTTTTCATGCACCTCCTGGCTTCTCCACCAGCTTTTGCACCACCGCCTGAACCACCCATACTCCCAGGATCCACCCATCCCTGCTCCAGTGTCCTTCAGCTCCTGGTGGAGCTGTAGCCAGCCACCCCTGCCAGCTGGCTCTGGCTGCTGCCCCTTCCTCAAGGACTTTGCACAGCCAGGCGGTCACCAGGACCCAGAAGGGCTGCACTGAGATTTGCTAAGAGGTTAGAAAGAGAAACTGGATCCCCCAGAAATAAAAGCAAGGGCAGGGATATGATCAATCTGTCCTGCTGAGTGCTAAGGGAGAAGAGAGGCTTCCTGCTCGCCTGCCCAGCCCCTGGTACACACAGCAGCAATGTTATCTGCACCTCTGAGCATCCCAGGCTTGCCTGGCATTGGGAGATAAAGGAATTCTATCATATCTTTAAAGAGGGACAGGCTGCGTGAGAGATGGCCTCTGGCCCCATCTCAGAACTGGCAGGAAAAGGTCATCGAGTGTCTGGGAGCAGGAGTGAGGGACACCTGAGTCACACATAGTAACAGCAGCCTGGCACAGGCACTCACCCAGCTGGGATGGCCCTCCCACAGCTTCCTCTGCTGAACAGTGTTCCACACACAGGAATGAACTCCAGCACCTGAGGAACAACCTTCCCATCAAGCAGGGAGGGAGGTGCAGAGAGCAGGGTGAAAGGGACTGTCAGTCTGAAGAGCACACAGGGGAGACAAGTAAAAATGATGGAGCTGAGCCAAGTAAATAAAAAAAAAAAAAAGAACAAAGTGAAAATCAATACAGCGAAGTAAAAAAAAAAAAAAAAAAAAAAAAAAAAAAAAAAAAAAAAAAAAAAAAAAAACCATAAAAAATAAAGGGGAAGAAATAACCACTTTTCTTACTGGCTCCTGCCTCAGCAGGACAGTCCTCTCCTAGCTCATGGAAGGACAAGAGTGGGTCTCACAGGGTTTTTTTCCTGGAGGAACATCACCCAGTGGGCAGATCCCACAGCAGGAGCCTTCTGTGGACAGCAGAGGAGCTGACCTCCACCTAGATGGCCAAGGAGGCTGCCCCATGACCAGGTGGGTGACAAAGGGGCCTCCACTCTCCCTGGATTCCTTGGACTCATCTCAGCCTCACCCATACCACCATTTCAGAGGTGGCTCTGGCTGGGAGTCAACAGGAAATCAACACCCCTGTCAAAGGCTGGAGTAGCTCAGAGGCCACAGCAAGCTCCCTGGCAGAGCTAGTGCCACTACTACTCCCAGGAAAACACACAAGGGGAAAACACTTCTTTTTTCAGCTCACGCCCTCCTGAATTAGGCAGGACAAGGACATTTTACATCACCTGGCCATCCAGGTGGCCTGTGCACATCCCTCTGGAGGGACTGCCACCCAGTACAAAATCTTCAGGGTACATAAGAGGGCACTGGAGATGTTGTACTTTTTCCTATGTCCACGACATTGGCTGGCTCATCAGCTTCCCCAAAACACTCTGGTAGGACAGATGCAGCAGGGGCAGGATGCAAAATCTCCAAGTCCTTGATTTCATCTGAGCTTTGGTGTTGTTTCTGACCAGCCACCACTTCAGCATGCGCACTTGGAGGTCTCTCTGCCAAAACCTGTCCTTTCTTCACATCACTGCAAGCATGGCCTGCCTGGGACGGTTCCCTGAGGCCTGAAGAGGATGGGAAACAGCAACATTAAGCTTAAAAGGCAAAATCACAGCAGGATTCAGGCACTGAACTTCCTTTTGTGCCACTGAAAATTCCATCCAAAGTCCCAGCAAAGGCAGGTTATACAAGTCAAACCTGCCCACACACAGGCACCGCTGTCCCGGGGACTTTTGCCCCACTCACAACAATAAATCTGTTTGTAAAGCAGCAGCTTCCTGTTCCAGCTTCACCACTTGTTGCAGCATCAACACGCCCCCCCAGCTGCAAGGCTGCCCCTTGTCACTCATCCCATCTCCTGACTGGAGCCAGCAGGACAAAATCCTGTCCACCCCAAAGCATCTCCCGCTGCTCTGCCCACCGTCCTCCCGCAGCAGTTGTGGCGTCGGTGGCTCTTGGGAAGCCGCCAGGCTCCACGTGGCCACGGCCGAGGTGCGAGCACATTCTGCTTGCAAAAACCTGCGGCAGAGAGGCGGCCAACAGCTGGGCTGAGAAAGCTGCTGCTGCTTGCCAAGTCTACATGGTCGCCATAAAAAAAAATATTGCCAGGCTTTTCATGGAGTAAGAGCTAAGCACAAGCTCCCACTTCAGCCCAGAGACAACTGTGCCTGCTTCTCTCTCTGCAGAGGAGAATTCCTCTTTGACTGCACAACGGGCATAAGGGAAACAGCACACGGCAGCAATCATGGGAGAGTGGCAAACAGCCATCCCAACTGGTGGTCACAAAGCTGTCCAGCAGCTGCAGAGAGAGGAGGGGGGAACTGAGCCAGAGGGGGATGGAGTGGAGGAGGAGGGGAAGAAGCTTTAAAGACAGGCAGATTAAGGGCAGCCCCTCAAATGAGTCAAAACTCACTGAGACGTGGTTGCAACTCCCTGTTTAGCAGAAGGCATCCACAAATTAATAAAAAGGAATAAAACCTGGACAGCTAGGAAGTCGTCAATCACATTCATACATATTTAACAGGGACATTCATCTGAATAGAGGCCTGCCTGTAGCATGCTAGAAACAAGTCACACTGCCTGGGAGGCTCACACAGAAAGCTTTGCTCCAGGCCAGCATGGGACAGAAAGGCAGGGAATTGTTTGCTGTGCTCAGGAAAAAAGCAGCCCTGATGTGAACAGAGAAGATGAACATGCTGGTGAGGTGCAGGGGAAAGGTTGTCTCCCGTGCTGGTGAGATGCAGGGAAAGGGCATGCTTTCTGGACCCTGACCCAGGAAGGACAGGATAGACCATGCTCTGTTTCACAGCTGAAACCCGCCTCCTGGCACACGCTGCGGGGACAAGAAGGGCTGCTGCTGTGGAGCCAGGGCAGCTGAGCTGCAGCCCAGGAGACAGCACAGCTGCACAGGGGCAGTCCCAGGAAAAAGCTTTAGCTCTTGTTTTCTGGTCCAGAGCTCTTGCTGTCAGTGCTGGAGCACAGATTTGACAAGAAGCCTCGGAAAGCTTCTTGAAACATGTGCTGGGATCATCACTGATGTTAGGAGGATGAGAGATGGAGGGATCACATCTCCTTTAATCTCTCTAGCAATGGCCTGGATCTAGTCATGAACTTGGGCTGTTAAACCTACTGCCACACATCCTGGTGGGTCCTTTCAGGACATCATTAGTGGGAATTCAAGCCTAAGAGAACCATGCTGCATCAAACCACATTACTTCTGCTGCACCTCTGCCTGGGCACTGGCTGAACCAATGCCCTTGCACAGGGCTCTACAATGGCATGTCCTGTATCAGAGTTGCTCCATGGGCAGCCCTCAGCAACCTTGGCATTTGATGTGAATCCATTAGTATAAAAACGCGAAACCAAACTGGGTACCACTGGCTTGGGAAGTGTCATCAAACAGGGTTCCCCCTGCCTACTGTCCTTCATTTTGCAACCACATGGGACACAAAAACAATTGTTACTAAGGCGAGGTCCCTCTCTGTCCAGCACAGCCTGTCGCAGGAGTTCTGCAACCCAGGCTGTGTCCTCACTGACACCTGCTCAACCTCAGAAACCCTCCAGAGGTTTGCACAAGCACAACTGGCTGAACTTTCCAGTGAGACACGGGAACACAGACACTCATCCCACAGGAATTGCTGCAGCCCTGCTGACATGGAGGCTTGTAGGTGGTGTTTCCAGAGCAGATTCCCCTCCCTCCTCGATGTGGAGGCTCTCCCTTGGGGCAGGAGCAATGGCTTCAGTCCATCCTGTCATCTGTGGCAAAAAGGCATCAGCCAGACAAGGAGGGACTCTTATCGAACAGATGGGAGGCAGGACATAGCTGAAGAAAAAACGGGGTGCGCACCTACGGCACATGACAGTAGTACGTGATATGTTCCAGAGATACGGGGAAATGACGGTTATGAAAGAGACAGGAGGGGAAGGGAAAGAAAAAAAAAAAAGCCTTTTGGCTCAAGTCCAGGGGGGAAGGTTCATTTCTGTCATCAGACTTAATGGTTCAGCCTGGGGAGAAATGCAAAAGGCACCAGGTCCTCCCTTCCCAGAGAGGGAGAGCAGGGTCAAACGCAGCACCCTTTCCTCTCCCTGTGCACGCCACCTGCCTCAGCCTGACCCGAGGCAGGAGGTGTCCTGAGCTGCCATTGGAGCTGGGTTTACAGAGAACAGCAGTGGCCTGCTGATCCCTGCATCATGTAGGGAATCAGAAGTACTTTTGCCCCAGGCCATACAGTAAGCTCAGTAGGAACCAGTTTTCATGCATCAGATATATTACATGGATGCCACATATCCCATTTGGCAGCTCCCTCACAGATTGCAAGCTTCTGGACAAAGGGACTCCAAACTCTCTGGATCTGGCACAGCACTCACTGGGCTTGAATTTAGACATACATTCTTGGCCAGCAGCCCCGAGCTCTGGGAAGGAAGCATCCTTTTTCCCCCTCTCCTCCCTCCTTCCCACTCCTGCCCCCGGACGGAAGGCATATTGGATCACTCCTCTCTGTGAGTAAGGGAGTGCTCTTCTGAAATAACACCCTCTGCCTGGGCAGCTCTGCTGGTCCTGCTCTTCTCAATCCACCAGGAAAAGAAATCTCTGCTGGAATACTGTTTTGCTGAAATGAAAACACATCACAAAATCCAGCTGACTTGGTCAGGATTTTCCTTAAGAAGCAAATTAGGGAAACAAGAAGTTCCTGGTAGAGTGCATTGAAACATTTTACAGCATGTTTAAATGCAGCATAGCTGCTTTATTATTCCTATTTCAAAGCTACTTGAATTGTAATTTTGTCTCCTTGTATTGTATTAGGTAAGCTGCAAAACTCTAACTAAAGCTTCCTGTCAAAAAAAAAAAAAAAAAAAAAAAAAAGTTGAAAGTAAGAAAACTGAGGATTTTAAAATTTGCCAAATCAAATTCTGAACAGTAAAATCCTCAATAAAACCAAACCTAAATATCAATCTTCACCCTTGTATAAATATTAAACATTATTTGAATGCAGTTCTGAGTCTGTGAAATCCCCTGGTGTAGATAAGCCTTCAGTACTAGGTAGGATGATAAAACTGGTGTACAGTGTAAGAAGCTGCTATTAAATTATTGTAACTCCAGTAGGGGGTTCTACAGCAAGTACAACATCTAAATTTTTGAAAACATACATATATTCTACGACCAATAAAAATAGGCAGCTAGGAGAGAAGCTATCTATACATCAATATTTACAGGTTTAGGAATTACATAATCCTAAATGACGTTTTTCAGCATTCATCCTCCACACAACTTTTCAAAACAGGCAAACAACTTCAGTATCCTGTTAACTGTATTCTCATGTGCATGTATGCAGCTCCATTGGACTCACAGGTGTAAATTAGGGCAGGATTTGGCCCGTGATATCCATAGCCCAAAAGAATGACTGCAAACCCTTAAAGGAGCAGGGAGAAAAAAGAGACAACAGCTCTAAAATAATTCGTGAGATTAGAGACAAAACAAAAATAATTATATTGACTAAAGCAATGCTCTATGTTAGCTTGACCCTAAATAAAACCTTAGATACTGGCTAGTAAGTTCTGTGTTGAAATCACTGAACTGAACACTAAAACAAAATGCAGTTTGGAGAGGGGCAGCAGCTTCAAACCTACAGAAAGCAGCTTTACATACCAACCGCAGGCAGCAAGTAAAGATCACTGTGTTTAAGCAGAAATTGCAGGAAGTGTGTGGGTGGCAATAGCCATCCTCCACACTAGAGTTTAGTGGAGGACGCTGTGACCATTCCTGTGGCTGGTCCAGGAAAATATCCATGCCGTGGTGAGACACACTGCCAAGATGCATCCCTGCTTTCCAAAGGCTCAGCAGCTGGACTTGGGATGAGCCTCTCAGATTTGCCAGGGCCTGAAACAAAATTAGACGAGCCAGAAATGAAAGGTGAGATCTTGGACCAAGTACAATAGATCTTGGATCCTGTACAAAAGTCACAGAGATCAGATGTCACCCAGTGATTAGGGGAAGTTGGGATAATATCAAAGAGAAGGTAGGCCAGCTGTGTCAAGAGGAAGAAAACTTCTTCAATTATAGCCCAGATTTACAAGTCAGAAGATATAGTTTATGCTCTTGACAAAGCTGAAAGCTTTCTGTGACATCTTAAGCAAACCAGTTTGCTCCTCGATCCAACAGGATAATAATTTACACAGTCCAGAGCTTTCCAGTAACTGAAGTGCACAGACTGCTTGCAGCTCCCAAGGAGAAAAGTGCTCTTACCTTAAAACACAGAAAAAAAAAAACCCTCCCATCATCCATCTTCTGAGAACAGTGGGAATGCTCTCGGTGGGGTACCACACACGGCCAGCTCCCACGGATGTAAAACATATTTTAGTGCTTGCTCCTTAGTCCCAGCGTACCGCCTCCTATCCCTTATAACCATCTCTATCCCACCACATTTTTCATGAATGAAAACTATTCCTATCGCTACACTAGAAATAACCAAGTAAACAGGAAAAAACCCAGATTTGCCAGCAGGTGCTACGGGAGGGGAGAAGGCCATGGTGACCAGCAGCTTTGGCAGACGTGTAAATGGTACCAAGCACATCAATTTAGCCACCTCTCTGTCAAGAAAGTCAGAACCACGGGGATTCATATTTAGAGAAGGCTTTCCAACACACTGTTGGCTCTTATCTCAACCCAGCATTGTTCATGCTATTCATCACAGGCCACGACAGAAATTATATCAGCATCAGCAGCAACCAGAGTAGCAGAATATTCTGCAAGGAAAAAAACCAACCAAGAAAACCACCAGTGTTTACCATTAATAATATCAGTTGTTCTACAGTTTCCAACTTCCAGTTAGGGTTATTTGGCTCTGAGCACTTTGGGAATGTCGGCTGGAAGGAGGGCAGCATCCAGAGGTATTTGACAGGAGTAAAAAACCTATGTAAGCCCTACGTTTCTTGTCTAAAAGTCACCACCCCAGAATAGCTTGTGATCTAGTTATTTTTATTCAGAGAAGAGCCTGTGCCTTGAGTTTGGATCAGAGTCCAAATTCCGCTAGAGTTTCAGGCTGTTGTTAAGGTAGGATGCTCCAATCTGGCCCAGTTTGGAAACAGGATGATCAGTAAATTAGGGATCTCATTTAGAGTCAGGCTCAGACATTAGAGGTGGTCCATTTTGACAGATTTGTGTCATACATTAAATGAGCAATTGTAAATGAAAAGTAGGGGGTTTTTCCTCAAGAAAGGAGGAATTTAGAAACTGTGTCCCAGTCTCCACATTTCAGAAAGGCTGCAGGTTGTTTCATGGATGCTGGGAAGGCTTCTGAGTCTCACCAGTCCTCAGAGGTTACCATTTGTTAAAGGAGAGCACATTTCACTAGCTGAAAATCGTAGTGGTGAGTACTGGCAGGTCTCTCTGGGTTAAAGCACTATCAGCACGCACACACACACATTTACCATTAGGCCACACAGTATTACAGCTTGCTCTTTTTTGTCTGGGAGTGCAACAAGGATTCTTTGACAGTTTTCTATATTTTGGAATGTGGAAAGCCTGTAGGAACTACAGGATCTTTTAAAAACCACCTGCCCATTTTCTTCCTCCTTCCTCCCATTTATCAATGATCCCTTGAGCACAGGAGCTTTCTTCATTGCCCCAACTGGATATTCTTGTAGATTTTATTATAACTCACTGGTTCAGCTTTAACCACAGCGGTAATAACGTAATAATTAATATCAATTTCTTGTAAATTCTTTGTTAGTAAATTTGTAAATAATGATCTTATAGTTACCTGGGCTTCTACCCCACTGTGTACCCATCCTAGAGCCTTTGCTTACACAGGAGGCTGGCACAGTTCCACATACACCATTTTAGTTGCTCGTGTAACAAATATACTTCACACATATTTTACACACATGCTTGGCACAAAATTTAGAAGTGCACATACACATGAAACAGGAGTAATATAGTCTGTTCCAGCAGATGCATCCAGTCCCACGCACATCTTCAGACCTGTAGGAGGCAATGCAGGAACTGTTTGTGTTCTGTGGGAAGAATTGAGCTGCCTTCTCTCCTCTCCCTCTTTTCTAAAACTCAGGGTAAAGCAGTGTTAGTAAAAGTGCTCTCTCTTAAATATAAGGAATGTCAGCAGGCTTGAAAAGCACTACCCTTGCCCGCACTTAGAACTAACTGAGAGGCTTCACCTGACAGATAGGAAGACCTTGGACAACCTTTCCTAAGAGCAGAGCAAGGGATAAAGATGCCATCAGCAGAGGATTGGTAGCAAGCATCTGGAATGGCTGTAAAATTTCCAACCAGCTCAGCTGTTTGAAAATAAATGCCATCCCCAGCCTTATGGAACTGAGCTGGTACATCTTCAGACACCCCTTACATAAATCTCTTGTACACTCAAGAGATTTATGATAAACACTTGCTCTTTCCTTAACCTCCAAAACCTTTTCCACCTGCTGAATAACTCAAGAGTCTTTCCTCTCACCCAGCCTGTTCAATATCTATATAAAGCCTCTGGAGAAGATGCGGTGGCACCATAGACTGACTTGTCAGCAGTACACATATGACACCCATCTCCACGTTATCTTCACCTCCCATGCAAATAACACCATTACTCAACTCTTCAAGGGTTTGACTAAGATCAGCAAATGAATGAAGTTGGCATAAGCTGAATTGTTGCAAGAGCCTGGGCTGACGATGACATAGGAAAGTATTTTACACTTTGATAATGTCCATTGCTGGCATTAAGACTAACTCAAGATTTAGTGTTAATCTGAATTCCATCATCCTGAAAACCCCATAACTGTTGCTGCAAAAGCCTCAGTCCTTCAGCACAATTTCCAATCAGATAACTGAAAAGACTGGACTTGTCCCTAATGCTTGATTTCTACAACATAGTGGACTTAGAAAAACCCATGCAAGAATGCTCCTGGCCATTTACTCAGCAGCACAAGACCACCAAACAAGCTTAAGCTCTGCTCTTTGCTCTGCTGACTACTCAGTCCCAGCTTAAATTCAAGGCTTTGCTCTTATTTTCAAACCCTCCATGACTTTAGCAAAAGTTGATTTAAGGGCATCCACACCTCTGAAACATGACACCATTGAAACATGACAGTTATACTGCTCTGTAACAAAATAAATGCCCACTTTGGAGGGTGTGCGCACCAGGGACAGAGATCCCCTGCTGCCTAGGACACAACCTGCAAGAGACACCCATAAATCTCAGAAGTGCAAGAACAAGAGAGAAAATCCAGTTGTTTTTTTCCCTTTCTCTGTTCCAACTGTACCAAAACCATCAGCATGAACAAGGAGTCCATGACTGCGAGATTGGAGGAAGTCTGACTTCCAGGGGCCTCCACTGGGAGTTCCCTGGTGTCTGATGAAAAGGTGAGCTGGGCTGGTAGCATGTTGATGCTTCAGCACAAACAGGCTCTTTCATGTACACATCTGCCCCTCTCTTTCAAATTCACAGGAACTTCACTTTCAGATCTGTATTCTGTTATCAACAGGCTCAAACTTTTGCGGAGATGAGAAGGGAAGGCACATGGAATCACACATACAGACAGACACACCTAACATGAATTCAGATGCTTTGTTTTACCAGGAAAGAGTTATTGGCAAAAGCACCTTATGTAAAAAAATAGGAGAGGAAATGAGAAAGAGGGATGTCAAAGATGTCTTGTGTTCATTCTCATGAGCTCATAAAATGATTGCAGGCAAATAGATAAAGGTATACAGGAACATCTGAGGAGTCATTGCTTTCCAACACACCAGTAATAGCCAGCAACTCAGAACCTGGAGAGAATCCTACAAACATTTCCAAATGACAAATGAGTCACTGATGATAATTAGATCTGACAGAAATTTATTTCCTCCTAGAACAAATCCAAAGATTACTTTTCAATTATATGAGATGCAAAACAAGGCAAAAAGTTGAGATACCACCAAAATACACCTGAATCTATGTCCATAACTCACTGCTGCACAGGGAGAGGACATTGTTTTAAGGTTGCACTTCCATGTTACTTTTTCATTCCCTGACCACTGCTCACTTGCAATGCATCTAACTATATTTGAATTCCCCGCCAAGGAAAGTAAAGCAGAGGTGCCCCAATAGGGGAACCAACCCCACATGTATCTATACACTATTCAGAATAAATGCCCTGACAATGCAGAATTTTGTGATGCATCTAGCATTCCATGAATCCTCCAGCTGGTCTTGCCTGGGAGGAAAAATATGCATGTATGAGCAGGGATACCGTTCAGAGACACTAAAACAGGTTCATAATAAGTCATCCTGTTTTCTTCAGCACAAAAATAAACCTATATCAGGCTTCTTTTTTTTTTTTTTTTTTTTTTTTTTTTTTTTTTTTTTTTTCCTGACAACAACTGGCAGTAACTTTGTGCATTTCAAATGCAAGGTAGACAACTTTTCGAATGGTTAAAAGGTGTGTGAAGTTTGAAAAGCTGGAAGTCTTGCCAAACTTGATAAAACGTTGCTGAAATGTTAAACAGAAGTTTCCATGAAATTTTCACTGCAACAACCATTCAACTTGAAATCTGCCTAAATTTGTTCAGACCTTTGGGCTCATGTGACAATAAGTAAGTGGCCAAGCAAACCATCAGAACTGAAACTTGGAATCACCAAAGAGGCCCACGCCAAGCCTCTGCTTTGGTGGGGTTATATCTTGTCAGGCTCCTCCAGTGCTTGATTCCAGCAGCAACATTTGGGCTGGCACATCATGCCAGAGAGACAGCATTTTTGTGTTACAACTGAGAAAACAAGCAAAAAAATAAAAACAAAAATTATGCCGGTTTAATCATTTGGTAAGGCAGCTAGCATCATCGTGGAAGTGTCCAAATTTTAGTGCAAACCATCCTCCTTCCCATTCTCTCCCAAAACTCTTATCTTCTTTTCTTAAACTGACAATTCAGAAAACAGCCGGAGTGCTGCTTCTTTTTTCCTTGTATCCCCTGCCACGCTTGCACATGTGCTTATCCAGTAACAGGCATCACTAGTGAAATGGGATTACGTTCCACTGGTTAAGCGCATGAGCACAGCCCTGGGTGGGGCTGCTGGAGGATCAGCTCTTAATAAGGTGTCCAATTTATAATCTAGCAGGGCGAAGAGCAACTGGCTCTCAGAATGAATAGCTCTTCTGTCTCACCATCTCCTGAGGCTGGCTGCTGGGCCGGCCCACCTCATCCTTTTTTTTTTTTTTTTTTTTTTTTTTTTTCCTCTCTGTTTCTCTGATGCTGTTATTCTTTTCACTAAGTTTTTGCTGGAAATATAAAGAGGAAGGAAGAAAACAAGTATCCACCCGTATCTGGTCACACACTGCAAACTGCAGCAGGATGAGCAAACGCTCTGCTAGCGCAACAGGCTTTACACCCTTGCTATTGACTTTTTCCAAGGAAGTTTCATTTCAGCCTAGGATCCTGCTCTCGGGGACCGCCTTTGTGCCCGGCGATGTCTTTAAAAGGGATGCTCCGCGCAGGACGGGCCAGCGGGCATGCCCAGGGCGTGCAGCCAGGGGCCAGCGGGATGCGGCGCGCGGGTGATGCTGTCCCCGCCGCTGTCCCCGCCGCTGTCCCCNTCTCCCGCGGAGGCGCGCACGGCGCAGCGCCCTCTGGCGGCGCGCGGGGGCGGCGCGGGCAGCACCTGCCGGGAGCCGCTCCGGCGGCGGATCCCTGCCCGCGGCCCGCTCCCAGGGACAGCCCCGCACTCACCCGCGGCCGGGACACCGCCGCCGCTGCAGAAACGCCCCGCGGGAAGGCTTGGCGCGCCGCTTCTGCAAAGGCTGGTGGTGGCACACCCGAGCATCTCTCTCTCTTTTTTCCAGATTCCCCCTGTCCCGGGAGGCTTGCCGAGAGCCTCCCATACCTCCAGGAGGCACGTTTAATAGATTTCCTTTCCATGGCGGTGAACTTTTCCAGCCTCTGACAAAGCACACATGTGCAGCGTGCTGCAGTCAGGAAGGGCTGCCCCTCAGGAGTGACTGCTCCTTGCCACCCACCGGCCTCCTCCCTTTCTGTCTCTGTGCTTGCACTGTGTGGTGTAGAATGACTCTTTCCTGTTTGCAGCACTTAAACAAAACACAACAACAACAACAACCTTAAATACTTTCTGAAAGTACCACCTGAAAACTTTCCATCATTCCGTGCTTCCCCCCCTTGCCAAAGCAAAGTGAAAGGTGATACCACCAGCCACTCGATCAATCTCTGTCAGGATCGGGGGCATCTGGCTCCCGTAAGATTTTTTATAGTAGGAGTCTGTTTCTAGGACCATTGGATCTTCTGCAGCAGGATGCTGTTTTCCAGATCTGATTTAAGCTGAACTCCAAAAGACCAGAGAGAAAGAAGAAGCGGGGAGTGTGCACCCAACTTCCTGGAAAAGACACCCGAGCTGTTCTTGTAGCCTGCTGCAACCACTCTCCATCCTCCCCAGCCCCTACAGCTGGTCCCAGCAAATGCCGGCTCTGAAGGCACGGGAACTGGCCCGCAGCTGGCCTGGGGAGCCTGCCTGGTTTTAGCAGTGTTTTCAATTACTAGCCTGCTCAGCAGCCACATCATGTTCTGTAAGAAATGCTAAGTGCCACTAGCAGTCTCTTGGTCCAAAATGTTTTGGAGAGCCACTGTTCTGTCCCCAGCCTCACAGGGACTTTGCATCTGGGAGGAATGCCTGGGATGGAGAACACAAAAGGACAAGCTGGACTGGAGCACCCATTATGCCATTGAAAAAAATGAAAATAAGATGTCAACAACTTCTATGGGCCTAATTGTTTCTTCTCAAACAGATTGTTAGCTTATGTGAATCAGGATAGCTCTACTGAGTAAACCAAAGAATGGAAGGGGGGAGGGGGATAGCCTTGGGATCAGAAAGGCACAATATGGGTCTATATCCCCATTGCTTGCTGGCTACTGAGTAACATTAACTTCTTGCCACCCCACCCATGCACCCCCCAAGAGATAGTGGCAAGAGAGATGAAGAGACAGAGGGCAGTAAGACTGCCTAAGTTTCTGCAAACACCGCCACACAAGGACACCTGAAGGACTGGGGCTTGACTCCCTCCCTCTGTCTGCGCCTGCCCTTGCTGCTCAGCTCTACCATCAAACTGAAGCACACAAAACTAAACTGAGTAAAAACCAGAAACTGTAATTTTCTGAGCCAGATTTCTCCCCTGAACTGTTCTGCCTTACAGCCACATGCACTTTGGACCAGGCTTAAAGATAATACAACTACTTTTTTTCAGTATTTGAAGAGCACATCAGACTGCAGCCTGGTGAAACACTGGGAAATCCCACAGTGAGCCACAGACTAGGAAGCTGTACTTTAATTTCAGCAAAACAAAAATCAGGCAGTGAGTGAGTGATGCAAAAGCACCTAGTCAGATTTCTCCACTGGACCTTCAAGAGAAAAGAGGTAAAACATCAAGCACAAAGGGCAGCCTGACTTCTCCAAACACAAAATCAGGACAAGCCAAATCCTGTCCAATTGCACAACATTAAAGAGTGATTCTGTGCTCTCTTACCTTATGCTAAGGGAACAGCAATGTTCTGACCTGCAGTGATTTATGTGTAGCAAATTCGTGCCATAAACAAGTGAGAGAAACCAAAATCTCATGCCCTAATCCCTGAAAGCAAAACAAAATTCTTTATGGTCAGCAAGCCTGCTGATGAAGGAGGTAATGCTTATCCTTATTTGAATCCAATAAAAACATCCAAACAAGAGAAACAATGCTCTAAGAGCTTTTCTCTGTTACATTTGCAAATAATGTTTAAAAAATAATTAATCATTCCACATGCTTTATAAAATTAATTTATCTTGATGTCTCCCCACCTGGACAGGTGTTACTTACTACTTCCAGTGAACGTAGGAGCAAGCCGAGTAAGACAGACCTGGCCCTGTTTTTTGAAGTAACATCTAATTTTCAGTGCACTTCTATGTACGCGCAGCTTCTGTTAATTTTGGCTAGAGCTGTAAGTGGTTAATACACATGTAACACAGATTCTGGATATCTCAAGCTACAGGGCTAAAATTGAAGCCCGTGCTCGAAATTGTGATCCTAAATGACTTGCCCTTGGCTGGGCAAGGCAGGGAATCTGTTGCAGGATCAGGAAAATAAGCCAAGTCTTTAGATTCCTTGGGGCTTGTCTCCACAAGAAACCTAGGGAAGCAACACAAAATTGCAGCATGCCAGGAACATTCTCCCCAGGTGGACCCTTCGGTGTTCACTGCTTTCAAAGAGCAAATTTTAACCCATCCAAAAATTCATCCCTTCCCCCACAAACACAGAGAGACCCACTTCTCAGTGCTTAGCACCATCACTTGTTGCCACTTTCTAAACTGAGAGGTGCTCGCGGCAAGAGAAGGATGTGGTGACTCCAGAGGTAGCAATAAGAAAGCTAAGGGTAGGTTTCACTTTGGTTTCAGCAGAAAGCTTCCCCATGAAGATGTTTTGGTTGGCAATCAGCACTGAAGCAGCTTACCTGTGTTTCAAAGATGGGTGAGCCACCTCCCACTCAGCATACTCAAGGTCGTGTGTACCCATTTTAAGCAGACATATGGAAGATCTGAATAGCTGCCCACACTAGCTGGAGGACAATGCCAGCCCAAAGGAGGAGCTGTGTGGTTTCATGCTAGTACCAAGCAACATTTGTCTCTGCAATAAACCCTCTAAAGATAATTTAACAATGTCTGCACAGGGGACTGGGCTACAGATGCACATCCTCCCAAGCTGAGGTGCTGCTGGAGAAGTCTATCAACCCAGCCTGTGGCTACCATCCCTTCAGGCCTGCTCTGTTCAACTGTGCTTGAATGCTTTTCACAATTTTTCAGGCTGAATGAGGTAGGTTAGAGGGGGCCTAGTATTTTAACATTACAAGCTGCCACCAAATGACAGGAAGTGGTCAACCCACAGCTTACTCCCTGGATCTGAAGCAGCAGGAACCTCTGGCAGTAGGGGAGAGCTGGAGACAGAAACTTCTGCCACAGCCGACGTGAATGTCTGTGGCCTAAGTGCAGGGTAACAATGTCCAGAAGTTCATCCTCTGGCTTGTCACATGCCAGCTTTCACATGGAAATGAGCCTGGTGCTAATGCATTAAGTCCTGGCTAACATCTAAAATGGTGTGGGCATAGCACTGCCATTATTTAAATTTTGAAATTGATATGATATAGCTTGACTGGCAACAATCAGTGCAGACTAGGTCTGCCAAAACTGGTGGGTGCAAAGGAAGTGCCACAGTACCCTGTGGTGAGGACGGCAGCCAGCCACAGAGTGACCACTCAGTGGGTGCATGCACCACACAGGCAAGCCTGAGGTCACTTCATGGTCTTGGTGGACTTGAGAAGAAGAGGAACACTTCAGGTTACAGACACACAACTGCTGTAGCAGAGCCCTTTGGTGTAGCTCCCGCTCATTCCTCACAAACCCACAGAGAGACTTACACCTGCTGTCCCATGACATCAAGTCAACTGTTTGTGTAGCTGAGCTCCAAAGACTTTTTTTAAGGAACTTTGGGTTAAAAAAACCCCCACCATGCATTCTTCCCAAAATGCATGTCTTTTCTTCGAAATGGATCATTTCACAGGACTGGCTTAAAGGACAGCTAGACAAACAGCTGTATCAGCACAGCCGCTGAAGCAGTAACCTGGGGCAGTGGAGAAGGAGCCGGCCAGAGCAGTGACCTCCCTCAGCTATGAGCTAAAGCTGGACACCTGTCTGTGACCCAGCTCTACCTTTACTTTCCAAAGTGTCTGTTTTGGTTTGGATTGCTTTTCTGGTGGATATTTTTCCCCTTACATTTCCTAGATAAATTAGACGTATGTAATTGTTCTTTCAGTTTTCCTGTAATCTGTTTCAAGTCTGTTGTCCCATTGTCAGTCAAATCTGAGTTTCACACATAGCATGACCTTCTAAATCTGTCAGTGTCTGGGTAGAGGCCCAAACTTGTGTCCTCTGCAAGGGGAAAAGCAGGCAAAACTCAGCTGCTACCCAGTGCTGCCCTTTAGCTGACACACAGCTCTGGCCTGTTGCTTTAGAGGGACAGGGAGGGAGCTGAAGTGGTGAATTTGATGCTCATCATACAAGGCTAGGCTTTGGCACTGTAACTGCTCATGCAGAGTCTGCCTTTAATCCAGACTTTGCACCTTATGGCATGTAGACTTCAGCGTATACTTGTGTTTCAAAAGAAAGCATCCTGTCAGAAGTTCCTTCTCTGAGTCATTAAAATGTAGTTAGTACTTTTAAATCCACTCAGTTACTTCTGCATTGGACTATTGTAAGATAAATTGTCTTAACAACAAAAGCACTACAGAGATCCTTAGTGAAAAAGGGTGATATTTACTTCTGTGCAGGGGCTTATGTGTACCATTTCTAAATTTGATGACTGATGCTGCATTTATACTGCTAAAATGCGTTTTCTGGAGGGAGCTCAACACAGAGATAAATTTCATCTAACATGAGAGGAAAAAGGTAACTTGTCAGCCAAATAGGTTATTCTCTGATCTATAAATCAGAGAGAACAACAATGCATACTGTATTCCCGCCTGTTCCCACACACTCCTGCTTGTCATCGCAAGAGCTCTTTAGTGCCCTGAAATACAGCTTGACAATAAAAATTAATTGAAAGTGCACTACAATCATTAACTTTTGGAGCTTCACAGTTTGCCCATCCTTAAATAATGCTGGTTATAAAATCCTGTTTGCACTACAATTCCTTGGCTCTGTGCCATGTAGCATGTAGAGAAATCAGCAATATGTGCAGCAGGGACTTTACTGGCTATAATATGAATGCACATAATAGACTTTCTTCTTTAGCTCAGCAGCAGAACACTGACTCAGATCTAGAGACCAGTTATAGTCCCAGTGGTGTTTACTCCGTGTAATTAGCAGTATCAAGTGTGTTGTCTTTTGGGTAGCCTGATTGTTTCCATATGCATGAGCACCTTCTGTGAACGAAGACAGGGCAAGAGGCAGACAGCACTGTGCAGCATTACGGGAAGCACATAT